CATGTAATGCGCAATGCCGAGAACAAGCCAGAGATCATTGCGGGTATTGGGTATCATATTAATGCCGATCCACTGGTAGGTCAAAGTAAAGACGATTTTCCTGGTTGTTTCGATTTCGGTGTCGATGATTTCCTCCGGGAACAGCAGGCGCGTGCTGATAAATGCCAGAGAGTGTAATGGTACAGTGTCCTCCACCATGTCTTCGAGAAAACAGATTTTGAAGTTGCCAAAGGGGTATTTAGCAAAGGTGTAGGTCAGGAAGTCTGCTGCCATTGTCAAAGCTGCCCCTGTACTGCGTACCCAGTCGGCGCGGCCAGGCAAGCAGTAGGCATGGACCTTCAAGGCGCTCACGCCGAGCTTGACTTCATCCTCCTCTGTTCTAAATTCAGATGACAGGTCTATATGCTCGAAGGGCCCGATAGCGAATCCCAATTTTTGTACTGATACCTTCTTTTCTGGCTCAAAGGTCATGATCTTCTTGTGGTCATTTTGAGGGTCAATCATCTCCTCCATGAGGAACCCCGAACAAACAACAGTCATTTCTCTAAGCTTGTCTTCTTCTGCCAGCATCGTCTTGCGGTCATCGTGATCATGGTACTTGTCAACTCCATTGACCGTGGTGTCCTTTTGGGTAGCCAACGCTTGCTCGAGCGCGTCTCCGAGAGTTCGGGGAAATCGTATTGAGATCCTCCAGTCACACCGGGCGCCATGATCGTCAACACAAGGAAAGATGCATGATGCTGTTCCTGGCTGAATCGAATGTCGCGTATACATGTGGGTGTACCGATTGTCAAGAGCATCCTCTCCAACGAAATGCAGGCCATCGCGAGGATTCTTGTTGGTGAAGGGGACGGTAACTTTGAACTGCTTGTGTCCCTTGTTGGCGCCATCGACATTCAAAGCGGATTTCCTTATAATCAACTTTGGGCGCTCGCTGTCCTTCCCGCCACGAAGACTGACCTTCAATGACCCGTAGACTGGTGTGCACCCCTCGATCTCTCTATTCTCGGCGGGGACATCGGTCTTTCGGTTGTGGAAGACGTTTCTGGCTCTTCTCCGACGAAGGTCATGGTGTTCGGCTCTCCAGTTCCAGCTCTTGGAATGGGAGAGTCTCTGGTACGGATCCCGATATTCGGCAGGTACCTTTTGTTTTTGTCCCTCAATCGCTTCTCCGTGGGCTTCTCGCATTTCGGTTATGGTCACATTATTAGTGTCGATTTCGCAGTGAGCTGCATCGAGATGAATCTCCTCGACATTATCGGAAAAAATGACGATATAAATGTCAACAGTGCCGTCGATTCTTCGCTCGCGAAAATTCACGTCCAGCCTTGCCTCCTGCTTGATGACAAAGAACTCTTGAACGGGATCGTCCTTAATCGGTGGCAAGTTATCGTTTGTGTGTAGCAGAGGGTGCTGCTCAACACCATCGAGAAGCGACATGGTGGTTCAGCTTGAGGTTCTTTGCAGCTCGGAATGCCCCGTGTTTGGTTACTCTATCTTCGATCCCAACTCCCTGCGCGAGTTGATCATCAAAGACCTCGCAGTAGCGAGCGCCCTTTTAAAAGTTTTACAGGCGCATTCGTATTTCGGGGTCTCACGAGTCATCGGTCGCATTCATAGCAATAGTAGGCGAAGGAAGGTTGCGGCACGACGAGGAGGTGGTTGGCAAGTGATTGATGGAAGAATGTCGGGAGATGCTCGTGATGAGTCACACGCTTGGCAGGAAAAAGAATGGCGGCACCAAGAGCGCAGGCACGACGCACCGTGAATATTTGTGTGTGAGGAGCGGGAGGCGTATGGTATCCTCGAGTCGCGGATGCTCGCGCTGCCTTCATCCCCAAAAGTTATCCAAGAGTTGGCAAGCTTGCCTACAACGCACGGACCACCTTGAGGTGTGCCTGGTCCGCGAGTGCGCCGAAGTGGGCCCAGCCGGTCACTTGTCATCCATATGCTTCACACCGTCAATTCAGACGCCAAAGATTAAGTTCAGACACGATTCAAAAGTTGTTTCAATTGTACTCCGTACATGGATACAGTTCATCCGTTATCTTATGTACCTGTAAGCTCATATGCTAGTGGTGCAGTCCAGCTCATGTTACGCTCAAAATCAACGACAACTCGTCCTGTTGCCAATCCCATGCCACGCCTCATGCCCCGGCCCTGTGTGGTAAACAAATGTTCCACAGTTGATAATGCACAAACTCGTGAAATATATACTACACTAGAAGGTTCTGACAGTAGTCTCTGAGCTGGAGACCCGGACCCTTGGACCCCAACGCCACGCAAACATGAAGAAAGTTTAAACAATGAAAAAAAGGCAAAGCGTGAGCGAACACACGGCCATGTCTCGGGGTGGCTTGGGTATCAGGGACTGAAAAGGAGAAAGTTACCTCGGCGTGTAGCGGTATTAGGGCCTGCCACTACGCTTGTCTCTCCGTTTCTTGCGTGCCCTGGACTTGAGCAGTTCCTCGTCGCGATACTCTTCCGGTAAGACAAAGTCGGCTTCTTCCAGGTCTGGAATAGGATGGCCCCAGGCTAACACCTTGCGGCCGATGCGACGTGACCGGTTTAGGGCGTTGTCTCGTTCATATTTCTTGCCAAAAAAGGAAGTAAATTCTTTCTGCGCGTCTGCTGATTTGGGGGTTGTAGACCGTAGCGGCGCTTTGAGCTTTCTAGCATTTGCTGCTGCCAACTGTGATCTTGCCAGGGCCTCTTGACGAAGCTGCTTGGCAGGTGACGCATCACTGGTATCGCTCTGTGATGTCACAACCTCTTCTTCAGTGTCTTCCAAGACTTGGTCTGCGTCATGTTCCATTTTGGTGTCTCCTCGGTTGTCGTCACTCTCGTCGACGTCGTCTTCTGCGGCTGAATCCTCAATTTCATCTGCCTTGAGGGGTTCTTCCTGCTCGACCTCCTCTTGTTGAGCCAGCGCAGCCTCTTGCTCGGCCTGCAACACTTTCTCCTTCTCTAGCTTTCGCCGCTTCTCTTCCAAATTCCATGTTCGGAATTTTTCTAATATGCCTTGACAGCCCTTGACAAAGTGAGCACGCGCGGGCTCAAAGGACTTCTTCCTCGTCTCTGTTACACCACTAACTCCCATTATTCTCAGCCAATCGTGGCCCTGGAGACCCTCCAAAAGCCGAATTATTTGGTCCTTCTCATGCTGGGCACGACCCTTTTCGGAGTTACGTATGGACCGCTCTAGTCGCTCTGCTCTCTTATGCGAAGGCTCAAAGAGACTATCCGGCAATGGGTCGTCGAGGTTTTTATTAGTTTGTTGGGTCTCTAAGAACTTGAAATCGATTCTTTGCGAATCAAAAACGTCGGTGTATAAAGAATCGCCATATCCACGGACTGGGAATTCAAAGATGCCGCTTTGCTGCTGCACCCGTGCTCCTCCACGCTGGGCTTCCGTGATGACGCGTCGAGGATTCGAGTCAACCACAACAATTGGGGTTTCAAGGTTCAACAAGTCTGCACACCATGTGAGCACGATGCGCAAAACACAAAGAAAAGAGAAAAAAAGGAGGATAGCTGTGCCAGAAGAATTCGGCACAGTGACGCATACATACGTTGCTCCTTGGGATCATTTCCAATCACTTCGTCGTAGTCTGGAAAGTAGGCAGACAAGTCACTCTTGAATCTAGTAGCCTCCTGAGAGCGTAGTTTGCGCCCCTGTTCGCGGGTAGACGGGGCTTGTGGCTGCAGCCGGTCAAGCTCCGCTCGGATGCCATTGATGACCTTGGCTTGGTGTTTTGTGATATTTGGCTCCTGCTCCACGGGAACGGGAGGTTTCGGCTTGAGGGCAGCAGTCACGAGCGGAGCCAACACTGCGTTGGAATTGGCCGCAGGAGGTATCAGGACCGGCGGCGCGACTCCCGCGGTCGTCGGGATGGGCTTTTGTATGGTTGTGTTTGCCACGGCTGGCGGTGGTGCAAGCGGTATCGGCGGAAACGGAGGCTGGACAACGGTCGAGGCCCGCACCCCTTGGACGGGCGGCGGTTGGTGTCTGGAGAGTATTTCCACGGCGATCCTCGTCTTTTTGGGCTTCAAGGCATCAATTTCACGGTCGGCAGGGTCGAGGGCTCGCTTCTGACGACCGCCTCGGCCTGCACCGTCGCTCGAGGCAAACAGGCTGGCGGCCGGGTTGGCCGGACGCGTGAGGGGGCTGGCGAGATGATGCGTGTGCGGGTGCGGGTGCGGATGATGATGGGGATGGGGATGGCCATGGGCATGGTGAAGGCCCTCAGCTCGCCGGTTGGAGCGGGTGACGGAGGCCATTGACGATGAGGACGAGGCCTGGCATTGTCTGTCGCCGTCTGCTGAGGTCAGTCTCGCGATCAAGACGAAGCGTCCTTGATTTCTCGATGGCGGTTTTCCGTCTCTGCTGCTTGCTGATCTGTTTTTTTGTTTTTTTTTTCCGCCCCTGCTGTCGACGTCTGGTCTAGTGCTGGATGCGAGATGCTTTCGGTGTGGTTGGTGGGCAATCAGCGATGTGGGTGCCCTGAAGCCCGCTGGCGCCCACTTCTAGCCTGTGCGATTCCAGCGGTCGTGCCTGCCGGCGTCCAGTGCCCCTCAGTGCCTAGCGTGCTGTCGCCCTTCAATGTTGAGCACTGTGAATCCACCCGCCCTGTAGTTTACGCGTTCTGTTGTTGGCGTGCCAAGCCGAGGTTTTCTACCCTATACCTTGGTTTACGAATGAGCCGAATAGGAGGAGCCTTACATTTCAAAATGATCGCAAAGCAAAGACTAGAACATACAGTGATCACAAAATCTGTAACTTGCCGGTCTATGCGGCTGGTGTCAACCTTTCTCACTTGAAATGTGGTTACTTTAGCTCTCCCTGATCCACGAACCAAGGTCTCGCACTTAAGCCACCCGCACTACCATCAGCCGCCATCGCAAGTATTTCCAGTCACGCATTAACACAAATACAAGGTCATACAATGTATTCAAAACAATAGGGGGTATACAAACATCCAACCGTCTGCGCCGGCAGCTCACTTGGTATGCACCGGCAAACTCTTAATCTTCTCCATGACTCTATCACTCTTGCTCATTTCCCGCTTGACCTTGTCCGCCTCCTCCCTCTCCCTCTCCAACACCCGCCTCTCCTTTTCCGCACTCTCGCTCTTGTCCTTCTCTTCCTCCTCCCGCCGCTGCACCTCCTCGGGCGCAACCAACTTGTCTTTGCCGTGCATCAACTTCCCCACGAGCTCCTTGCCCTTTTTCCTCGTCTTGAGGTACGTCTCCAGCCCGACGAGAATGGTGTACGACTTGGATATAGACACGTGGCTCATATCCACGCCCTCCTCCTTGAGATTCTTCACAAAGGCGCGGAAACTGCTCGCCGGCGGACGGTAGTGGCCGCTCAGTGGCGACAAGGATGACAGGCGGCCTTTTTTGATCTTGATGAGTCCGGCGGCAGAGATGCGACCACCCTGGAGGAAGGACGAGTGTTGGAAGGCGCCAGAGTCCTTAATGCCGACATAGAGTCTGAAGGAGGTGTCTGCCACGAAGATCCACGTGTTTTTCTTGACTGACTTGCGTAGGAGCTGGTTGAAAATGGTGGAAGCGGAAATGTGCGTGACCTTCTTGAGTCCCTTGGAGTCGTCGAAGCCGGGATCGGCGTACTTGGCGGCGCGGTCGGCTTCGCGCTTGGACTCGTCGGATGAGTCTGAGTCGTCGTCGTTGTCGTCGTCATCATTGTCTTGTGAGTGCAGGTTTTGCGAGGCCGTAGGCGCGAATGCCGGCGTGGGATCGTCAAGGGGCACGACGCCGTGGATGCTGTCCTTGAACTGTTCGGTGGTGTCGATCCGGGCACCGTTCTTCACCCAGCATAGACGTCCCTCTGCGTCCACCCGGACGAGGTAATACTGTCGTTCTTCGCGGGACAAGTACCGTACTTGCTCCCGCTCAAGTCTATCCCGCGGACACGTGTCCAGCTCGATAAATCTGCCCTCGCCGTAATCCAACCAGTAAAAGAAGTTCTCCTTTGTGTCCGACTTCTTCCACTCCTCGTGGTACATGCGCAAGTTGCTACCGTACCTGTGCTTCGAGTCCACCATTTCCAAGAAGTACTGCAGGCCCAGCATACGAGCAGCCTGGCGTCGCTTAGCAGTCGCCTTGAGACGCCGTTCCTTGGCCGCTGCTTTCTCCTCTGACGTCATGCCTTCCAAATCGCCCTCGTCCGAATCAGACTCCGAGTCGGAAGCATCGTGTCCTGCGCGGCGGGCCACCAAGCTTACCTTTTTCCACTTCTGCCTTGCACTGGCCGGGCGATAATCAACGGGGTCCTCGAGCGCGAGAACATCGCCGTCGGCGGCAGAAGGCGAAGCAGCAGTAGCGTGGGGCTTTATGCCTTGGCGAAACTGAGCTTCTCGAACCGCCGTGACCCATCGTGTGCTCGCGTTCAGACTGTAGCCTTGCAGCTCCCGTCTGGCACGATAACCTCGAAACGTCTTTTGGATAACCTTGGCGGCCTCGTCACGCTCGTGTTTGTGATGGCCGGTACTGGCGGCGTGGTGGATACCGTCCGAGGCACCAGACGCTGAGCGCCGGCGCCACTCGTCTCGAGCTCTGCGGCGGGCTTCAACCTCCTTCTCCTCCTGCACCTGAGCTATGTGCTCCAACTTGGCCTGGGACGGCAGCACCAGGGAATCCATGTATTCTTTGGTCTTGGGGACTGACGGACATGTGCTGATACTGGCGCTGGTACTGGCACCGAAGGAAATAGCACTGTCAGATGTCGGCATGTTCCCCGGGAAGAGGCCGTTTATCAATTCTAGTCTACCGTAGGCGCCTTCTCTCGCGGACTGGAGGGGCGTCAGGCGTCATCGAGCAGATGCCGCAGCAAGCTAGTGACGCCCGATGCCCAAGAGCCTTGAGGCGTTTTGATGGATAAAGTGGGGGAGGACGCCCGAGCAGGCGATGGGAAAGAATCCTTGGGCTGGGGATCCTGGAAGCGCCGCCGGCTTTCCAAGTCGAGCCCGAAATGCGCGATGCCGAGATCCCTGCAGAAAGGATGGCCGGGTTTGTTTTGCGGTAACGGTTAAGAAGGAGGCGGGTCGGGGCTGTCGGTAACACGGCGTGCTTTGGCTGCAGAACTGAAATCGGCAGGTAGGTCGAGACGTTTGTGAAATTCAACGTCGTCGAAATCGGGCTAGCAATGCTGGTGTTTCGGAGGGTTGGACGTGGCTGGCTGTTCGTAGGAGCTATCGTCTGTTGAAGAGGCGAGATTGGTGGAGTGGAAATGCTAAGGTGGACAAAATAGAAGAACCACTGCAGGCAAGCGTAGTCATGAATTTGGCCTAGATGCTGTATGCAATACGGAGTGCTCCAGAGTAGGTCCGCGGTTAGGGGAAGCCAAAGAAAAAACACGGGAAGACAGATGCAGAGGAGAGGTCGTGGCAAGAAGAGGTCAATAGGATGGAGTGGCTTTAATGAGTGTTGAAGTCATTCGACAAGGCCGGATGGACCCTTTCTCCAAGCCCTCGCTACGTGGCGTATCCCAGCATCGGTTGGTAGGCTTGGTAAAGATGTATCGAACAATACGCGCAAAGTGCAGGATATGCACCGAGTACGTAAGCTGACGGAGCTCGAAAGGGATGAATCCATGAATTTATTCGGAACAAGCGCGGCCTATTCGTACGAAAACGAGGCATTGCTCTCTGCAGCCGGGGTCGGGCTCTTACCCAAGCCCACGGACCCCGTCGCCCACCATGCCTCCGAACGAAAAGCTGCCTGGCCCGTTTCAAAACACGCAGACAACGGCCGTTCTTTCTTGATTTCCGGCCCAATTGCCGTCGTACGGTGTACCACGCCTTTCTGACAACTCAGATTTCGTTTGACTGCGCGTCCAACCTTTGTCTGCCGTCGGTACTAGTCGTGTCCACAGCCCGAGGCGGAGGCCCCAAAACACCGATGATGCCGTGGCCGTGAGGCATTCTGCGAGGCTGAGCACGCTGATCGCCAAGCACGCTTGGAATTAGTCATACCTTAGAAAGAGCCGAAATGAACCTGCACTGCCTATCATGCATCACCGGCTTCCACGCTTCCCACGACGGCGAGATCATGACCCGCGCGAGCCGTCCAAGCACAAGAGTCGCTCAAGTCGATAGTTATCACTGGCGCACTTTTGTTCTTTTGGCCGCTACCAAATAATATGTAGGACAAATTCTTTCCCCCTGGGATCCAAGCAAGGAAAAAAAAATGAAATAAAGTAGTTACAAGAAAAGATGCTGCCATAAGACAGTTTGTATGTCCGATACCCAAAGTCTGCTCATTTGTACGTTTTGAACACCAAACCCGGGGCATTCACCCATCGAAATTCATGGCCTCATGATCGTCAAGAAAAGAGGAATTCTTTTAGGACCGGAGATCCTGAAAATTCTGGATTCAATAATATGCAGCTGCGCCGGTGCACGTCAGCACAATCCCCAGTTGAAACGCACAAAACAAAACACAGAAGTTGAAAACTGGGCATCTGAAGCCAGGGGAATGAATAGAAAAAACTTTGTGAAAAAAAGGAGGAACTTGAAAAGATTGCCCAAACAAGCCAGACGCTCGCGCAAAACCTACTTGAGGAAATATTGCAGGCCAGTCCGCCTCTTCTCGAGAAAGTTGGGTCGAAACTTGGAAATCACACTCTTGGGAGGGAGCGATGGCACAGCCCCCTCAAAGCCGGGGAACGATTTGACCAGTTTGCTGCGGAACTCGTCAAATTCCGAGTATCGCTTCCGGATGTTCATATAGCTTCCCTGTCACCGACGGCAGTTAGCACACGCACCGTAGATGAGCTGCAAGATGGAAGGGGGGGCAAAACATACACTTAGAGTTTCTACACGGACGTTCCAGACTATAAATGCGCCGACACTTGTTGCGCCCCCGTTGACAACGGTGTAGTTGACAACCTCGACGCTCTTTGCCCAGCATGCATTGTTTCGGTCTTGGTGTTCGCTCGTGTCGTTGTCTTGCAGGATGATGGCGCCCGCCGGCAGGACGGACTCGACCGAAACGCTGGACGTGTTGCGCTGGTGCGCGTGCGTGTTCATCCAGTACGGCGGGCTCGCGACAGAGCTGTTGGACAGTGTCGACGACATCATGTCCTCCGTGTCCTGCGGCACATGGTCGTCGTCGTCGTGCGTCTGGGCCTTGTGGCTTGACGGCGCCGTCGCAGCGTCCGAATCCACGGTCGGGAATCCGGGTGCCGGGGTTTCGTCGTCAGGCTGGCTTCCGCTGACCGGCTGTTCCTGGTCTACCGCCGACGCAATTCGGCCGTGTGCGAGCCGTGGCTCATGTGTGTTTCGGCAGCTGTCCCTTCTTGTCCGTGTCGTAAAACGGGGTCCCACGATGTCCGGCGTGTGGGCTCGCGCAACCGAGGGGCTTGGCTGTCGAGCCCCAAATTGAAGCTGACTGATGGCGTCGTTGCGAAAGCCTCGTTCAGGTCGCAGAACGGTGGAGACTTTGCGGGACACGAGTGCCGATGAGAGTCGGTGGCTTGTCAATTGGCAACGTCTTGGGCGCTGGAGAGGGCGGAATTCATGCAAGCGGGCATGCTGGTTCTGGATCAAAAGCTTCGCAATCAGAGTGCGACATCAAAGGGTAGCAAGCTTCCAAGTCCAACCGGACTCTATCTGGATGTGGGGCCGAGCTGCGGCCGCCTCGAATGGCCTGGAGGGATCGCCTCTGAACCATCCCGCCAAGCTGTTACCAAGCTGTTACCAAGTGTGGTCAACTGCTTTAATTTACTCTCGATGGAATCTTGAAAGGAAAGTGAGATATTTCGTTGTGGATACTATTGCTTACACACTTATCATTTTGTATTCCAGGTCCCAAAGTCATTCTCCGGTGCCTTTGGCTGATATGTTCTAGATTTTGGGCGCCACATGGCCACTTCAGGAACGCGGAGGTTGTCATAGCAATGCAATCCAAGCATCCCCTGATGTGTCCACATCCATGATTCCTGCGCGGATGCTGTTAACCCAGTGAGCGGTGAATGATGGCAAGTCCTCGTCATATGCAGCCGGACATGTGATTATGCAACCAGACACCGCAAGCCACAGGCCACAGACCACAGGTTGACCAGAGGCAGTCGTGTTGCGCCCAATTCTGATGCCCGTCGATTGATGTCCAAGGACCCACCCTAGAGCCTCAGAGCATAGCATCTAAAAAAAAGCATTCCCCGTAAAGTACGGAGTGCAGCCAATAACCTCTGGATGGAGAGCTGCAAGCGTGGTAGGGAAGGTAGGATAATGTCGTCACTGTCGAGCCCATGGCCATGGCACCCTCGACCACTCAACCTTTTTTGCTTGGCAACTACTGCATGGGTGGAGGACACAAACCTTCGTATCGCCTTCGTGTTTGGGTGCACCACCATGCGGAGGAGGATCAAGATGGCGCCAGCTTTGATCGAGAGCAAAATCCTTCCAACTCAATACATACATGCCGGCTTTTGTAGCTGGCTCTGCAACAAAGTGATGCTGCCAAAGACAACAGGAGGGCGTGATTATCACGTCATGGCACCAAGCTGATGCCCGAGACAAATTCAGCATCTGACAATTACTCCGTACCTGTACTAGTTTATAGATGATAGCTTCGTGCCGCCACCCCCTCATGGCTTTTGGCCACCGACTGCAACCAGGGGCTTGTAACCATCGAGACCATGGCGGAGCAGACAAAAGTGAAGATACACACACTTGACCCCACAATACAGCCACGTCACTCAGCAGTACATATAGTAGTACATAGAACTCAAGCTTTCTTTATGTAACGGCTGTCCTCGGCTGTTGAGTTCCGAATTGGTATCACGCTGTAGGATTGCCCGTCTTTGCATGCGTGGTGATTAAGCTGTTGAGCTGTTGAGATGTTGCGAATTTGCCTCCGCCGGGTTCGTCCGGGCGCCTTGGCTGGAACAGTCACCAGTGAGTGCCTCTCGTATTCCTCACTCGTGACTCGTGACTCGACCAGTTTTCATCAAGCCAGCGAACCGTACGATGAATGATGCGGAAGACTATGCCCGGTGGTCGCTCCCTCGGCATTTGGCTATCTGGCCAGCACTATTATATTGACGCTACTAATGCACATGTGCAGGGAATACGACGTGCAGCTCGACAAAGCCCCAGATCCAAGCTGTCAACGAATTGTGTAAAGCCCGGCGCCAGCCTACAACTGGTCTGGTGTGACTGGGGCCGTTGGGGGAAAGCTCGTACTGGCAACCGTTTGGCCTCCACAAAGAAACGCCGCTATCCCAGGAAAAGGAGCTCCAGATGTCCACGACGGGTCTCTAAATTCCAGACACAACCACAACTACCTCGCAGCTGGATCCGAGGATGCTGAAACGAACCGACGTAACCATACTCCGTAGGTAGACGAGGGGGGAGATGCAAAATTTCTCAATGAGTAAGGACTGTCTGTGACCAAAGCCTCGAGCAATGAAACAATGATGGCCTGTATGTACCGAGTAGCAGCTTCGTCGTCGTCGTCGACGTCGCAGTCCAAGTCAGACATCAATTGATGGACCTTGATCCGCACAGGACCTGTGGATTGCGTTGTCATGGACAAACACAAGGCAAAGGTGGGCGGCTTATCCACCTGAGACCCTTAGCTATTTGGCTCGTCGCCCCAGAGAGTGACACCTTGGCTTTTGTGCTTCTGAACTTGGGCTGTGGGTGTTGTCGAGGCACCTTTGTCTATTGGAATGCATGTTTCGGACCAGACTGTTTCTGCCTGTTGACAGGTCGATGCTGTCGCGGAGCTGATGGCCTCAATGGATCGGATTAAAAGAGGGTAGCTTCAGGTTCCCCAAAGCTCCCCTGGCTTCTCAAATTCTCAAAGCTTCAAATAAAGTTCGAATATTTCAGGTCTTGCCCGTCCCCAGCCATCCCCCGATTATCCTTGTCATCCCTGTCCACCCCCTGGTCAATCGGGCTGGTCCGTGGGACGTCCTCAGTGCTCCTCACCACGGGCTCGACCAGTTGACCCCATTGACCATAATTACCCCGTTGCCTCTGCTCGCCTTCAAATTGTCGATTCCTCCTTTCCATGTTGCCTTTGTTTGCTTGACCGTCGCTGTGCCCTTTTACTTCTTGAAATCACGTCATTGGTTTCTTTTTAGCCCTTCGCTTCATTGTCCTTCGCTGTTGGCATTTTGCATTTCAGTCGTCTCTGCAGAGTACTCCGTACCAAGTACATAATTTATCTGTAAGGAAGGAGCTCCCGTTCTCAACCCGCTTGATGCCTTCAATGTTGGCCTGTCTAGCACCGCGTGCTGCCATGGCCTCTTTTTGCTCTCATATTCTGGTGCGGTTGATGGCTTCAATAACCCTCAGCCAAATGTGACAATTTTTTTGCTTCATATTATACACTGCCGCCTACATTGTCCATCAGATGCTTACCCAATACTTAGCCAGGTCTCCTTGTTCTGCCCATCGATCTATTCATCCATATACGAACTCAGACGAAACAATGCCTTCGTTCCGAACCATCTTCTTGGCCGTGGCCGCCTCATTCTCGGCTGTTGCCAATGCCGATTACACCATCGACCCCGACAGCGTACCCATCGGCACTAGAAGTGAGCAGGAGCCAATATTTCTGATGCTGGGTTGTTGATGAAGCTAACACTCACAATAGAGGCTTGGTGTGATCAGGAGATGACTACATGCCCCCTCATCTGCCAACAGGTGGAACCTAGGACCACCATTGACAACACTTGTGATCCTGTGAGTTAACCCATCCATGCCTTTGATTCAGTCCCGGGCTTGGAATTTGACGTTCTGACTTTTCTCTACAGGAGTCTCTCACGTATGGCTGCCTATGTGGCAACAACCTACAGCCAAACGTTTCCCAGTACTCGCTAAGCTTGCCCTATTTCGTTTGCACACAGTGGGTAATCCAATGCAAAGATGCCTGCCCTACAGACGCTTGCAAGTCAGACTGCCAGCAAAAGCACCCATGTGGTGCCCAGGACCCTGTCAGGCCCAACGCGACCAAGACTGCTGGTGCCTCAGCCACCTCCACGGGAGGCTCGAACACGATCTACACAAACGCACCCGGGGGCGGTAGCGACAATGGAAAGAAAGGCGCCGGCGCAGCGCTCGAGGTTGGACGGACATATGGACTGGCTTTCGTCTTGACCAGTCTCTTTGCTGGTTTTGCCCTTTTGTAAGGGACAAGAATGACCATATTCACGAGATGGAAGATGAGAGAGATGTAGTGCTCTCTTGTGTCTGGAATTGCATACGACCTGTCTGGGGAAGATTCTGGGCAGTCTAGGAGCTTGGGTGTTACTTCTTTTGCGTTTATTATGCCGGACAGCAAGTGCCTGGTCGATTTACATTTTACATGCCTTGGATATGGAGGATGTTAATATACTACTAGCCTATATAATGTTCTGGATTTGGTTGAGAATGTCATTTTCGGTTTGTGTGGAATACATGGCGTCGAGCAGCTCTAGTCTAGTGCTGCACCACTAATATTACAATGTACTAATTGTACTCCAGGAGCTGCTTATTCAGAGATTCGATGTCAGTCAGTCAGTTAAGATTTTGTGGTTCTAGGGCTTGGACCACCCAGGAACTCGAGCATGATGATTTTACACTCTACGCTATTCTGCCGGACTTGTTCGACTCAATCTGTAGCCAGCTACCGTTGCGGGGCGGTCGCCTCCCGAGCAGTGAATTGCTCGGCGCGCTCACTCTTTTTGCCAAGTGCGCTTATTCCCCTACCAGCTATCTACCTAGTAAGTATTTATTATAAATTATTTATATTAAAATATATTTACTTATTATATAATATATTATAATATAAGGCCTAATAGCCAGGTACCTAGTAGGGCGTGAGCGCACCTATCAGAAAAAGTAAGCCCGCCGAGCAATTCACAGAACAATTCACGACTCTCTGGCAGTCACGTACCTACTTACGTAGGAAGTTAATACCCCAGCTTTGCCTTCCGAATGTCGCATGCACGGTCCAAATCCTGAACAGCTAGCAGGCACTTTAGTTTTGATACCCCACCGGCCTCCTGCAGTGCCTAAGCCTCCCAAGGCATTCCCAAGGCAGTTTACATTCTCTATTCCGCCTACTTTCACTATCATCCAAGCTTCTCAGAATTCCAGCGGGATTCAAAGCGATGTCAAGATGCACTCTCAAATCTTGTTCGAGACCTTTACTGCTAAAGACATCACGGATGCTGTGCTGGAGGAAGCATCTACACTCTTTAGCGAAAACTACGGAATCTGGGGGAAGGGTTCAAGCCGAGAAGGTTAGCAGAAAGCCCTTCTCCTGTTCATCACTAACATTTCCTCTAGGGAAACGAGTGAGACTTAGCGGACAGCGGCTAAGGGAGAAATTGCTGCCGGAATCCGCTCAGACTTCAATTACCAGGGTTGCTGTCAATGGAACCCTGGCGGGACACGCGTTCGTTTGCCGTTGGGCATGTGCTGGCAAGAAGATCTGCTGGATCACTCAGTTAGTGATTGAAAAACACTACCGTGAGCAAGGACTTGCAACTTGTCTCCTTACAAGTCTTCGGAACGATGAGGATGATGTGTTTGGCATCATGAGTTCTCACCCCGCTGCATGTTTAACAGCAGCGAAAGCATTTGGAAGTACGTATGCCCGCACAACAGAGCCATTGCGGTGCTAACGGTAGGCAGGGGGTATCGAGAAAGTATCGCTGGACTTTATAAGCGAAAATGCCGCCGAAGTCGTCAAGTCATCGCCAATCCCATATATACGAGATGCGGAGCTCTGCGGTAGTCTCTTCAACTCTGTGGTTAATATGGTTTCTGGAGCAAACACACATTTCTTTGTCGACCATAAGGAGCCTTTAGATACCCTGCGTTCTGTTCGACAGGAGCGACAATGGCCATTGGGCGAGCTGCAGGATGGTTACGAGTATCTCCTGATTCTACCTTCGAGACCTCGCAGATCTAGATATTGATCATTATCGGGGTCCCAGGATGCACTGTGGGAGGTGAAAAGCATTGAACCTGATGAGGTATCGAACTATTGCCCTCTGTAGTATAATGTACTGCAATTCATTAGTGTGTACTTTCTCATACTGTGCCGCAGACTGTAGCGGGTTCCTGGGAGGTTGGAGGCGGAAAAAGTGGGTTTGGAACATTGGATGAAGGCGTATCAGTAGAACCCGGAAGACACTTTGGTAGTACTTGTGTCCAGTTGTAGAACACTGCGAGCCCATAACAGCCGTGCCAGGGCCAGAGTCAGCAACCAGACTGAATGGCGAATACCATCACGCAGTTGCTTGCTCGAAGGGCAGCTTGGGAGAGGCCAGGAGGATACAGGCTGATGCTGCAAAGCCACGAGTTTGCATCTGGCTTCCCCACGAGACTCCACAGGCAGGGTCTTGAGAGTTCCCGAGGTTCAAAGCTGGCCGTCTGCGGCCGTCTGCAGGCATATGCGGCTACAGGGCCCAAAACAACCAAGTCATGATGAAGTGCTCAACGCCACTTGCGTGTCGGCCGCAATGGTGCATCTCAACGAAAATAAGGATCCAATCAGGGGCGGCGCAAGTGTATTAGTCCCAGCCAGTTTTTTTGTAGACGAGCACGCGCAAGCGGCACACGATCAGAAGCGGCATGGAGCGGGAAGAGTGCGGAGGCATTTAAGAGATGGACGAGTGTTTGTGTTTTTTTCTTTTTTTCTTTTTGTGCTATTCTATGTTATTATGACGTCGGTGGTTTGAAGTAAATGATTTGAACATTGAATGTTTGAGATTCAACCACAACAAAAGAAGCCCGCGGCTCAACGGCTTGTTGACAACGTACACCAAAAAAAGGGGACCTCATCTTGGACTGGCTGAACCCCTGTTCTCCCGTTGCCCTGGCCCGTCTCCCTTCTCTTCCTCTGCCAGTCTGCTTTGTCTTCTGATCCCCGCCTCCCTGTCGATTGGTGTACCGTCGACCCGTTGGCGTCGTGCTTAAAGACGTGCATCACAGCCTGCATGCAAGGACCAGTCACGCTTGTTTCTCGAGCACGCAGGCACCGCAGGCCTGCATCTCACCGGTACAGACGCGTCAAAGGGCACGGGCTAGTTCGACAAGGAAGAGGCAAGAAATAGGTACATATACTTGTTCCGTCCACCCGCCCCTCCACCGCCTCTCCCGCCGTGCTGCTTCTTCTGAATTCTGCCGCCATGGTCGGCGACAACTCCAGCAACGACACGCTGCCACGGTACGAACAAGACAGCCTCCTACCGCGGGCCGACAACATGGCTCCCAATACCAGTGCGTTGCCCTCGCTTGACTTCACCCCATTTGTCCTTTTCTTGCTCTTTGCGATGCTGCCCGCAAGGTGCAGGAGAAGCCTGACGAAGCTCTGCCCGCTAACGCTGTCCTGCCCTGCCTCCTAGAAAAAGCTGCTGCCGAGTGCATCTCTGATGATGCGCTGATACACCTCAAGTCCTACAAGTATTCGAGCGTCGACAAGTCTCCCGTGTCGAAATATATTCTCGGTCCCTGGGTACGTTGGGAATCCGGCTCTTCTCTGCTTTTATTTTTTTGGTCAGGGGCATTGACGCCGTCGCCGTCGAAGTTGTGCCACATTACGTGGGGTAGCTGCGGCAAAGCTCCCCGACAATGACACACCAAGCTAACTGTCAGCACTGCTAGTGGAATGCTTTTGTAAACATTCTGCCGTTATGGATTGCCCCGAATATGGTTACCCTCTTGGGATTCTTCTTCATCCTGGGTAACATTGGCCTGCTGGTCATTTTTATGCCCGACTTGGTTGGACCTGTATGTCCCCCTTGCCGCGTCCCGTCGCATGTCCATCAAGACGGCGCATGCTAACCCCGAATTGTTTTGTGTTAGGGACCGACATGGCTATATTTCAGTTTTGCGTTTGGCCTGTTTATGTACCAGACCATGGACAATGTTGATGGCAAGCAGGCGCGAAGGACCGGCACATCGAGCGGCCTCGGCGAGCTATTCGACCACGGTATCGACTCTCTCAATTGCACCCTCGCCAGTTTACTCGAAACGGCTGCCATGGGCTTGGGAACATCGAATGCTGGCATCTTTACGGCCCTCTGCCCTTGCCTGGCCATGTTCTTTTCCACCTGGGAGACATACCACACCCACACGTTGTATCTGGGCGTCATTAACGGCCCTACCGAGGGCTTGCTTATTGCATGCGGCATCATGGTTGCCTCTGGGATTTGGGGCCCTCATATCTGGACTCTGCCTCTTGCCAATGCTCTGGGCGACAGCTTGCCTGGGCTGGCGCAAATGCTTGGCCAAACGTCGTTCCGAGATATCTGGGTTGGCTTGATCATCTCGTCCTTGCTGGTCGGCCACATCCCCTTCTGCCTGTACAATGTCGCCTTGGCCCGCCAGAAGCAGGGCCTTCCCGTGACGCCCGTCTTTGCTGAATGGACGCCCATGGCCGTCTTTACGCTTGGAGTGGGAGCCTGGGTGTTCTCGCCGTATAGCACCCTGATGACGGACAATCATCTGGTCTTGTTCTGCCTGACCATGTCGTTTGTCTTTGGCCGCCTGACAACCAAGATGATCCTGGCGCACCTGACTCGCCAGCCGTTCCCGTACTGGACGGTGATGCTCGCACCACTTGTCGGCGGTGCGTTCCTCGGGAACCTGCCTCGGTTTGGACTGCCCCGGATCAGTGCGACCGCAGAGCTGTACTACCTGTGGGCGTACTTTTTCTTCTCATTGGTGGTTTACTTTCGCTGGGCGTATCTTGTCATCAACGCCATTTGCGACTATCTCGGCATCAATGCCCTGACGATACCCAAGGAGAAGCAAATCGCCAACAAACAGGCCCGAGACACCACGAAGTTGCATTAAAAGCCGAATGCCCTCTACTATATCGAAAAATAAACGAATTGGAATACACCAACAATGTTGGACGACGCGACGACCCAGTTTTTTTTGCCAACCAGCGTTAGAACAGCGTGATCCGACGTGGCAACGGGCCTATTCTACATGCGTGTACGGAACTGAGGGGGGTTACACTTGTAGATTCCGTAGGGAAAATGGGCACTGTAGACGCTAAACATTGTCTAGAAAGGGGCAACGACTATGGCGCATTCTTTGAGTATTACTATTTTTTAATAGCTGGTCGTACCGGGGGGTAAGGAGGCTTGGCTCGGATGGGCGTTGGGGACCTCCTGGATTTTTTTCTTTCTTGGTTTGAGGGCTATAGTTTTGTGTAGTCTACATTCATGGCGCTAGATGTGAGGAGCGGCACTCCGTGCAGTAGAGGATATGTTTAGCATTAGCGCAATGCTCGTGTGCAGGTCAAAGAAGGTGCACGTGCTTTTTTTTTTTTTATGTGAGATGGAAAGCTAGCGTTGTCGACGACTTTGTGTCCATGACTCCAAGTCACCACCTGCATTGTATCGAGATGATCGTGGAGACTGGAGAGATACCTCGACCTTTTGCACCGCCCGTTGTTAGACTGCTGCCGCCGTTGTCAAAAGCAGATTCTGCCTGCTCGTCTTGTACCGTCCGGTGAGTAATTGTTGTAATTGATGTCAAGTTATAGGGTACGTCGTTGCGCCAGCGTGGCGGCGTCCCGTGCTGCAATCGCGTTCAGCAATTCCCGATTTACTCCACCTTCGTCTCCTTCTCCACGTTTATCGGCTTCCCGACTTCCGCCACCTTTGTCGCTTGTGCGTTGACGGCTCGCGTGCATTCCTTTACGTCGCCGTCGATTCGTTCATCTATCCATCAGCTTCCTCAGTGCATCACCGATCTTTGCTTGCTTTGTTAGGGGTCCCCCTTCCTTCGTTCTCTCAGCGAATCGGACCGACCGTACGCTTGTTCTACCACATGGTTTGTACGCTGATTGTGTGTTGTTTGAGGGGGTTTTGTTCGCCCTCTTTTATGGAGGATTTGTCTGCTTTCAAAGTCTCAACGTTGGCATTTACGCACACGCACGGACATATATCTAACATGACTTTTTTTAGGTTCAGTTTCGGCATGACTGTTTTACTCGTCTGGAGCGCGATGATACTGGTCTGGCTGCTTGTGGTCAGCGAGGCAAGATGGAAACACAGTCAATATAGCGAAGCACTGTTGGACGCTGATTTCGTGAACGAGCGTCGTTATTTGGCCTAAGCCTAAGACTAACAAACTATAGAAACACCATACATCTCACGACCCCATGAACGAGATGGAGTTCATCTCGCTGCCGGAGCCAACCGGCCGTCTGCCGCAATACTACTCCTCGGCTCATGCCCAGGCTTATACCCATAAACTCCCAACAAGGGCATCCTTCGCTCGCTTCTGGCCGAACAATCCACCATCGCCGTCTTCTTCTGCGTCGGCTTTTCTCTTTTGACCAACATCCACGGCTGGTGGGCCAGGCCCGGGTGGATCTCTTGTGGCGGGTGTTTTTTCCTCGGGCTGGCGGACAGCGTTGCCAAAACCCCCCCATCCTGGCCGGGTTTTAACTTGGTCGGGGAGCATGTTATGCTCGTGAAGCCACTTCGTAGCTTTCGCACGCAAGTCAGCATCCCAGTCGGCGGGCGGCTTAATCCCTGGTTGTCCAAATGGACAAAGATGATCCGGGTTCATTCTGTCGAGGGCAAGTCCGGCCGTGTGGTCCTTGTGGGCGAGTTTTCGATGCAGCAGAGAAAGCACAAGCCCACTCAGTCCTGCAAACGGCAGGCCGAACTGGTCGGTACAAGGCTTCTTTCTAGGCAGAAGAGGATGGCCAGCGACGTAGTACTCCTCCGTGGGAAGGAGAATGAAGTTGGCGGCCGCGAATGTGTTCCACGTGGATCGTAGCTTGGTATGAAGGCTCGTGCCCTCGTACATGGTGTCGTAGTTTTCGTCGTCTTGTTTTTTGAAAAGGTCATCCTTGCAGAGAAGCTCCACTGCCTTGCCGATGTTTTCGTTAGGAATACCGATTTCGAACGTGTTCTGCGTGGATACTTTTAGAGTTGGTCATTCTTGGGCTTGGGGAGCAACGTACTTCGAAGTCCCAGGGGATGGGGGATGACGGCGGCGCACAGTCCTTCTCGCGAACCCTGCGGTGTTGAATAGCCGCTGATCCAAGGATGATGTATTGGATCTTGTTTTTATGCAATATTCTCTCGGCAACCAGCATGGGTTCCCAATGCCACTCGTCGGACAGGCCCTTGTGTGCCATGATGGGTAGGACGGGATTGGTTGAGCTTGGCTTGTGCGGTTGTGGTATGAGTAAATGGAGAGACTGAGGAATGCGTAGAAGGAAGGGGCAAGGGGCTGCGGCGGGCGATATTTATATTTCGCCTGGCCGAGCGACTTGTATTAAAGAACCGGTCCTTTTGTGAACAATGAATGGTTGGGTACCAAGGAGAGGGACCGTTTATGAATAGCGAATTTCTTTGTACAAGGAGATGACCACTTGCATGAATGAATGTGTCTTGTCAAAGGCGTTTCATTGCTTGATGGATGATTTGGCCTTGTGAATGGAATACAAGGGGGACAATCATAGGTACTTGCTACCGTTAGAGCGCGTTCTTAGTGTGAACACTTTCTTTGCGCAAGACAAAGCGATGTCTGTGAATGAAGAAATGGCGGGTCAGGAGCATGTCATTGTTCAACATAAAGTCTGCGGGTTGTGCGTTTGCTTCCACGAAGACGGCGGCTGAGGCTATCGCGAGATAGCTTTAGCTAGCGGGCTGCAATGCAGCACTAACTATACTTGAGTAAGGACTGGGCCGCAGCGGGCCAATTTATATGTTTTGCTTGGCTTGGCCGAGTCACAAGTGAGCGTTATCAAAAGAACCGGGCTCGACTCTTTGTTATCGAGACGGACAATAAAATGGCCGCGCTCTACGGCCGCGGATCCTTTGTGAACAGAATATTTCTTCTTCTTTTATGAGCGGGTGATTCCTTTCACGGAATCAAGGCTTCTTTTTTCAACGATACAAGACGGCGATGCCAAAGATCAAATTGTCCCATGAAGGGTAGGCAGAGCGGGCAGACCACTCACTGGCCTTTAAAAGATTCAATGTTATCCCCTGCCAGGGGCCGCCTGCGCCGAGCTATGGCCTGTGGCCGGCTTTGTGGCCTGCGGCTAGCTCTGAACATTGAAGTTTCAATGTTATAGCCTACTGCATCTGATAGAGGGTGCTATTATGAACACAAGCGTCTTCCTTCGCCGCCTTTTACCACTTGACCTCTTTGTGTCTGCATCTGGGGGAGTGTTGGACGGAGATGGCCCAACAAGGGGCTTCACCGACAAAGGACTTGTTGGTCACGCAGATTGAACACGTGCCAGGGCAAGAGCCCTAGGCACAGTCGTTCCTCATTTCCTCTTGGAAAACCAAGGATCTTTGACGCCCTTCAAAGTTATTACTGAATCTAAGCATTTACTTCAGGCCATCGATTGAGCCCGTCCGGATCTGTTTGTTCAAACCTACAGTGAAAAATTGCCTGCGAGGGCCGAACTAGATGAAAATGTCGGGTGGAATTCATGGGATGACCAAGAAACTCTTAAAGAAGTGGAGGAGATCTTGACAGGTTTAAATAAGGAGATATGCGACGCTGTGGGAAAACTAGAGTCGAAAAACTAGTCACTGCGGACGATAACATTGGCCACCATTCGCGGAGGACTCCTGGACACGACGATCGTGAAACGATTTGAAGATATTCAGTGGTACTGCTCTGAAGTTTGGTGTGACAAGGGCTAAAGGCTTAAAGTATTGACTCAATTCGTCTAACAACAGTCTTTCGTATCATAGGTCCCTGATGTTCATTAAGGTCTAGTTGACTAAAAAAGTCTTTAAATACAAGGAGTAAATAAGGGTCTTTTGCCCTAGGTCCCGTGATTATGGCCCTGTGTAACCCCGTGTGACATTTGGCGATGCTCAAGGGAACTCAAACTAGTTGCCGTCCTTCTTCTGCCTCTTTGCAGACGTTCCCAAGGTAACCATCTTTCTTTTCTGACCGTTTCGACCACTATCGACAGTGGCATAGTCGTGATCATTCTCGTTATTCGGCGCCACCCGAATTGTCTCGTCCGCTGTGATTGTCTTCCCAATGATGGCCATGGCCAGATTGTATTGCGTTCGATGCCAAACATTTTCTTTGCTTTTCAGCCACTGTTCACTGACCTCGCCCGTGTCAAACAGTCGCTTCGCTGCCAGGGCAGCGAGCTGATCGTAATGGTAGATTCTTCGGATTATAAATGCCCAGAAAAGATCATGGGGACTCGCCCACGGGATCCAGGCCACGTCTTTTTCGGAAAGGCCCAAGAGCTGTGTCTCTTTATGCTTCGAGCTAGGGACAGTAGGAGAAGACAACGTTCCGCCAAAGAAGGTGAGGCGAGGCAAGATTATAATGTTTCGCGGTTGTGACGCGCTCCAAACTGTCTGCAGGCGGCTGTGCGCAGTTGTTCCTTCGTAGCAGGACTGAGTGATGACATGGTCTGGGACGTCTTGAAACAGCTTGCTGGATTTGAGGACGTCTACGGCTCTAGACTTGTCTGCTTGGTAAACGCAAATTTCGATAGACTAGAGTTTCCGTAAGCGTAAGGAGTTTTTCTTCCTCTATCATGGCATTGGTACAACACCGTTGGAAATAGAGGTGTCGCGCTGAGCAGCTGTGTGCCCGGTAGACTTACGAATTCTGGATTAAAAGTCGACGTAGCTCCGTAGCGCATGAGTGCTACCTCGCCAACGATGGCGTGCCCGATGGAGTTTGACGTGAGCATGCTGGAGGCGACTTGGAGAGGACTCCAGTCGACGTTCGTGACGGTGGCAGCCATGATGGACTCAACTTGGGAACCGCCAGAATCAAAGAGTGATTCTTAATGAGAGGAGATGTTAAGAAGAGGAACGCGCTCGAATTAGAAAGCAATTTTGCCTTCTTATATTCCGTTGACAGGAGAGAAGTTTCTCTAGAAGATAAAAAGGGGAGACGAAAGAAGGGTAAAATTAAGTAGTAAGCTGGGTGGTTGGCTTGTTGAGTGATGAGGATGTGAGTTGGAAGTGAGCTCGGCAATGGGATGATCAAGCAAGAAGGTGAATTGGTTGATGAAAAGGGAGACGAAAGAAAAGAAAAATTAAGTAATAAGCTAGGTAGTTGGCTTGTTGAAAGTGAGTGAGGCGACGAGATAACCAAGCAAACAAAGAGGAGACAAAACAGAAAAGTAAAACTAAGTAAGTTAGGTAGTTGACTTGTCAAGTAATGAGAGTGTGAATTGAAAAGTGATAAGGGTGTGAGTTGAAAGTGAGGAAGACAATATGAGTAGTAAACAGAGCCAGGTCATGATGTATTGGAGGACCTAGAAGATATAATGTTAAGTGCAGATCAGCTCCTATCATGTTATCTACAGCCTCAATATATTAACATGTATTTCATTTCGAGATCGATTCGCAGTAACCAAGTAAGAGTATAAATACTAATATATAATACTACATTTACGGGTGTACTCTATAAAGGCCCGGGCTAACAAGTATAATTACGAACATATAGTTTACCTTTACGCGCCAGCAATACAAGTAGAGGCAAAAAATCAGGGTAAAAGCGCAGCGCAAGCGCCAAGCAACAACACTAGAAATCTATCCAACAAATTTCCTGTTGCTAAAGGCGTAAGGGTAATGCTCGCGACTAATCCATGGCAGCTAGCCGGCCTAGTAAACGGAGCCCAGGGCACTGTGTACAATCACGTATCGCCTGGAACGCAGGTGCTGACCTATATAAAGATCCCCCAGCGGTTATTATGGTAGATTCAGTGCTTCGACGGCTACGACGGACCGGCGTATCTAACAACTACTGAAGGCAGGAAAATCTGCCCAATACTCCCAGCCACCTGTGACCTCCTAGTGGACAACGAGACCTGCGCTCGCACGCAGTTTGGTGTTCGAAGTATTTAATAATTAATAGGTCGTTTATTGGTAAAGCCCTGCTATTAGGCTTCACGATCTGTTCGGCTTTTCCCATGTGACACGAGGTATAATAAGACCACGAGAGCCCGGTTTTATCTTCTGATAAGCCTCTATCTATGTCAATAGTTTCACTATATTATGCTTATCATTTCTCAATCATGTCCCCGCCATTTTCCTCCGAGGCAACTCCTCAACAATAGCTACTTTCCCGGATCAGTTGTGGTGGGGGAAACAAGACGACGAGTTGGCATTTACTGCAGTCACAGACCCGTAGAATACCAACCACAATCCACAGGATACAAGTCGACATGAGTGTAGTGACAGCTATTGTATGGCACCATGTGCGTGCAAAACCAGTGTAGCCTTGTGACCGTTGCAGACAGTTGACATGGTTAAAGAGTCCGCCAGGCAAAGGAGGTGTGGTGGAAGAAAAGCGATACTACATTATGCCATATTCTTTGCGGCTGTCACACGGTTACATAAGAGCTACAATCACGGGGAACCTAGGACAAAGTCCTTCACCGACTTGTTATATTTAAAGAGGCCTTTAGTTCCTTGAGGCCTTAAGGAAAACCAAGGACCTTACTACCAAAGACTGTTGTTAGATGAATTGCGCATGCTATGTTACTCCAAGCTTTTAGCCCTTGTCACAGCAGCAGCCAAATCCACAAGAAGCCATCGATTTCATCGCCCCAGCCGGGTGCGGCGGTTGAAGTCCCAAGTTATAAAATAATCTCGAGCGTTGTTTCCTACCCAAGCAAGCGACAAGACAAGAGGTTCAACCAAATGACCCCGTAAAATAACGCCACAGCAGACCTCGACATTTTGTCACGCGCGACTATTCACCGCCAGTCTTAAGCCATGTAATTGACTCCCTCGGTGACAAAACCTCATGATGTCCTCAGGTGAGGGTTTGTCAGGGTCGGCATCTAATACCGGTAGGCGTTGTGACAAGAGCTTAGGCTTAGAGCAATAACTTAATCTATTTAATAATAGTTTTTAGTATTAAAGGTTTTTAGTTTTCCTTAGGGCCTTGTTGGCTCAGGGGGTCTTGAGGTACTAGTTGGTGAAGGGTCTTTTGCCGTAGGTCTCATCGGGGTCGGTTGGAGGTACCAGGGCCAACCCCAGCCGAAGGCGTGGAATAGAACGTATCGCTGGCACCCTCCATTGTCCTTTTGAAATCCCCAAGGACAGCAAAAATATTTGCTAGGCTCCCCAAGCTCGGGAAAGCTAATCTCCTCACGATTGCACATAGGGCCAGCTCGGTGATATTCATCGTCAGTGCAAAAGAATCCTCGAAGTTCGCCACGGCGTCCTTTCACTGTATTTTTCCAAAATGTAATGCTTCTGTTGTCACAAGGGTCGAGATTATCGGAGCAACGTTTCGAAAAATCCAAGTCTTTCCACGGCGCTCGGCTTCCCGGTCTGTCTTCCCCCGTTTCATACCTAGGTCGCCCATAGTTGCGTTCATCCCTCATGAATTGAGCCCGAAAAAGAGAGTTCCAGGTGCCTGTGTCTCGGTTTCCACTGGCGATGCCGTCGAAAACCTCTCCATCGCCGCGTCGTTTACCTTCCTTTTCCCAGTGTAATTTCGCAGAACTAAGCCCAGCCAGGATAGCAATAATAATTAAAATCTTCATTCTGAAGTGACAGGATGATAGTTGAAGTAGCGTAAAAGATTGTAAAGCGGGCGTAGTAGTGTGTATTGGGAACGTTGAGAAGACACTGGTCGGAAACATGCAAGACATGAGAAAGGGAAGAAAGGGTTAAAAGGGCTTACGTTTAATATTTAACTGTTATTATCAGACTAGTGCTACGGCCTGATCGCGCATGACAAACCATTATTGATCTATCGCTAGCTACAGACTCTCAGGCACAACCCCCCCTTCTCTTAGCTTGCAGGTTATAGTCAAGGCAATACGACTAGTCCGAGCCTGGATCCAATTATGCTCAGCTGTCAAGTACATGAATAATGTGCTCAGGCGTCTCGACACTTGACTGCCGCCTCACCGGAGGGATATTCGTCGCGTGCGGCTTCCCAGCCAAGAAATTAGACTCGGGCGATATTATCTGACGTCTAAGCTTCGTCTGCATAAGTACCAAACCACTAACCAGTTTGGGAGGTTATCATGACTTTCCCCCGAAGTAGCCGCCCTTATCAGTGCTCTGTAATGTCGACTGTAATTTAATATGCATGACGAGTAACCAAATTCGGGCACACGATCAACAACCAAATTCGGACACACGACCAACAAGACCAAGGTCAAGTATATATTTCATGCCCGGGGTCACTGGTTGTAGAAGCATCACCCTCTCTAAGCAATCTTTCATGTTTGACCAACTCTTCTACAGACCACTCACTTCATCTGGCCCCGAATTCGCAATACACATCACCAACCACCAACCATGATTCCAATCGTTTTCCTGTTTTTCATGAGCGCCACCTGTCAAGAAATAATAGGCAACATATCAAATGGCAAAATAAGCAAACTCAAGTCTCACATTATAGCAAAAAGGCCAGATTTAGTTAAGACTGAACTCGATGCTGCGAAAGACTTCGCGGACCGCTATGCGCAGGCAAAAGCCGAAAAGCCCCTGCCGAATATCACTTCCATCAAAGCCATCTGTGGTTGTCCAGCCAATGAGATGTTTTCGTTGGCTTACGTCTTTAGAGCTGCCGGCGACAAGCCCAAGATTGACTTCATACCCGTCCAAGACACCGAGCCGACCTACGGTGATGTACAGCGCCAAACGACTACAATCGCCACCGACACCTTCTCCTGGAAGTGGTCACATGAGGTAACACTTAGTGTTACAGTTGAAGTTTCCTTCGGCTTGCAAGAACTTGGGCAGCTATTCCGGTTCTCGGTAACCCGATCAACTACAGATAAGACCGAACACGGCATAACCACCACGCGGACAACACAGTTCTCGGATGGAAGGACGTATAAATGCCGCAATGATCACCGATGCCAGCTCCAAACCTGGACATTCACAGCCGAATACGAAGGGGACTACTACGAGATGCCAGTAGCCGACTTCAACTGTCTCTCGAAGAGTGTTAAATGGAAATACAAATCCGGCGCATCTCGCCAACTGGCCAACTCGTCAAAGGTGTCTTTTGCTAGCCTGCTCGGCAAGGAAGACAGCTGGGATCGTTTGAGCCAACGGTATTTCACGACGCGCGACAGGGAAACAGGAGAGGACAGGGCCGAGGCACTTGACCAATGGTCAAATGTTCTCGGTGTTGACTTCCCACCAGACTCGGTTGAAATTGTTCCCAAGAACAAGAGTATTGCGCGTGGCCCGGCCACATTTCCCATCCTGAATGACAATGGAGAACCCTACCACGTCACAGTCTTATTTGATTACTCCGCCGTGAATCGCAGTACCGTGAATGGCAGCAGTACCGGCAAACAGAAGCGAGACGTACTCGATAAGGATTTAGCTTCCGACGACGTGGAGCTGGAAATATTTGTTGTGGACACGAATATTCCTCACCATGACGTGGACACTGTGTTGCCAAATGGCACGGTGATACGGGCCAAGTAGCCGTGTCCTCGTCAACCGATCATGGGGCATACGACAAGCGAGCCCGATATGCTCAAGGGTCCCCATGGTTCTATGATCACCACATTGTTTTTTTTTTTGGTTTCCATGTTGCAGTCGATTGTGGGGTCAGAGGTAGAGCAAAATTGGTACGTTATCTGCACCGTACAAGTAATAGTACGGTGCCGGCTGGCTGCCGGCAAGGTTACATGTACATAGTAGTGCCAAGGTGGTGCCAAAGACAAAAAAAAAGTACTAGACCTCATATAATACTTGACATCAATGATAAATTTACATGATATCAATCGATGGCACTTGATAAAGCTTTTTTTTTACATAATGTAAAAAAGAGATTTACGGGGATCAAATTCACGACTTCAATTCCAGATTATACATCAAGCATTATGTATAGCCACTACGGCAGTCACGATTAATTAATAGAGGGATATGTCTGGTAGTTTAAGAATATTGGTCGTATGAAATCTGGTTCTCTTGTTCGACAGTCAAGTGCAATCCACTTCATGCATATCCTTGGTGATTCCCAGGCCCGTCGCCAACTTTGTATCCCTGGTCCATCTCTAGATGTGTAACATTTTGCTCTTATCAGCCGACAGGAATGTAGGAACAGGCCATCCAAGGGGCTTAAAAGAGTCTGAATAAAGACTGTTACAAACTAGTGGAGAAAGTCGACTTGTACAAGCAAAAATCACGACGGCGGACAGTCGTGTATTGGTATGAGGTATTAAATGCGAAACCTAGTTTCCTCTGTGCCTCATTACATCCCATCTCTTTGAGAAATTCACGTAGCAAGACGACATACAGCAGGGAAAACACGCTGGTGGAAATTCAGAGAAATTTCTGCATCATTGAATCTATGAACATGTGCTTAACTATCAACATGAACTTTTAGTTAAATATCTTCCAGCAGAATACTATGCCGTGACGCCTATTGGGAGTCATGTAAAAGTCGTTACAGCCGCGACCCGTGGGCCATTGAATGTGGTTCCTCTAGTCACTGCAAGTTCTCAATGACCAGCGCGGAAGCACCGCCGCCGCCATTGCAGATACCTGCACAGCCAATCTTGGCGCCCTTCTCCTTGAGGACCGAAGTCAAAGTGGTGATGATGCGGGCGCCAGAGCAGCCCAGAGGGTGGCCAATGGCGACGGAGCCACCAAAGACATTGACCTTGTCGGCATCAAGGCCCAAGAGCTTGATGTTGGCAAGGGCAACGACGGAGAAGGCCTCATTGATCTCGTAAAAGTCAATGTCCTTGTCGGTCAGACCAGCGTGCTTGATGGCCTTGGGGATGGCTAGGGAGGGGGCAACGGTGAAGCGCTCAGGCTCACGCTCGGCGTCACCCCAGCCGAGAATCTTGGCAATGGGCTTGACACCGAGCTCCTTGACCTTAGCCTCGGACATGAGCACCACCGCAGCAGCGCCGTCATTGATGGGGGCGGCGTTGGGGGCGGTGATGGAGCCGTCAGACTTGAATGCCGGGCGCATAGCCTTGAGCTTTTCCACATTGAGGTTCTTGACTTCGTCGTCGCGCTCAACCTTGATGGGGGGCTTGCCACGGCCGCCCGACACCTCGACGGGGACAATCTCCTTGAACAGACCGGCCTCGGTGGCAGCCTGTGCTTTCTGGTACGACTTGATGGCGTAGTCGTCCTGAGCCTCGCGGGAGAAGTCGTTGTCGCTGGCACACAGCTCTCCCTGGAGACCCATGTGCTCCTTCTTGTAGGCGTCGGTCAAGCCATCCTTGAGGACGCCGTCGATGAGGGTCTGGTCGCCGTACTTGGCGCCGGTACGGAGGTTGGGCAGGTAGTGGGGGGTGTTGGACATGGACTCGGTACCGCCAGCAACGACAATATCGGAGGTGCCAAGCATGATGTTCTGGGCACCGAGGATGATGGCCTTGAGACCAGAGGCGCAAACTTTGTTCACAGTCGTGGAAATGGTGCTGTTGGGGAGGCCAGCGCCGATGGCACACTGGCGGGCGGGGGCTTGGCCCAGACTAGAGAATATCAGCCATGCCGGAGACTTGTAGGGAAAGCTGCGTTCGTGGAGGAGAGAAACTTGTGCGTATCGAGTGGGAAGCATACCCTGCAGACAGGACATTGCCGAAAAAGACCTCTTCGACCTGCTCGGGTTTGATACCGGCACGCTCAACGGCACCTAGGAGTGAGGGGTCAGAAGTCGATTTCAATGGATGGAACGACGGGGGTGTAAAGAGGTACCCTTGATGGCCGTAGAGCCCAGCTGAGTAGCGCTCAAGCTGGAGAGGGAGCTATTAGGGGGAAAGAGATTGACATCAGCATGGCAAGACACAAAATATCAAGTTGTGTTGACTGTTGGCCGTTGGCGGCTGGTCTTCACCAAGGCCACCTCGGAGCAAAGTCGGCGAGGGGTAGTTGAGCATTACCCAAGGAACGAACCGACGGGGGTTCTGGCAGCAGAAACGATGTAGACGGGAGGAAGACCAGACATGGCGGTAACCAAAACTTGAATTGGGTTTGAGAGATAAGCAAAAGTGAAAAATCACGGCGAGTAGAAAGATCGAGCTTGATTATTGACGTGGTGGGGAGCTCAATCAATTGCAAAAGCTAAAATAACGCTAAGGCGGGAGGTGAGCAGTACATTATGTAGGGTCCGGATGCTACCAGCGATTCTGCGGTGGACTGATGTCAAGACAAGTAATGGATGGAGCGGTGGCTGAACCGGGTTTAGCGCGGATACCGCCTTGTTCGGACACCAGACGTCGAGCATTTTACAGGGTAAATCCATTGTGACAGGAAGCCTCCACCTTCTTCACCTTGTCCCGCCTGTAGTTGCCCGAATGAGCTACCCGGTACCAGCAATCTTATCGCGATTGACGATTAGCACGTGACGCGACCAAGCTGTCGCCAAAAAATGTCGAGCTACGACATAGCACCATCGCGGCCGCGACACCAGTCACTCAACGCGCGCCGACAGTCCATTGATCGCAGGCGCTCGCAGCTTGCCGAACGGAACAATGGATGACCTTTACGACGAGTGAGATTTGCCCCCAGAAAACCCTGTGCCCGCCACACCCCGGCCTCAAGACACTGACAACCACCTTCTAGGTTCGGCAACTTTATTGGGGAGGAAGCGGAATCCGAGGACGCGTCCGAGGCGGGTGTCGAAGCGGGCGCTGATGCAGGCGACTATGTCTACGATGATGAGCCTGAAGAGACTGGGGGAGTGACGGGGACTGAGCTTATGGAAATTGATGGTTCGTGCAAGGGGACCCTTCTCAGAACTGATTGATAACCTGCTAACCAGAGAGGCAGATGGGCCGTCCAATGCCGTTGTCCTCCACGAAGACAAGCAGTACTATCCGACTGCCCAGCAGGTATATGGTGAAGATGTCGAGACACGCGTGGAAGAGGAGGATGCGCAGCCTCTCAGCGAACCCATCATCGCACCGGTCGAACAAAAAAAGTTCAATATCGAAGAAGCAGACCTACCTCCGGTATTTTTTGATCGCAAGTTCATGACCGACTTGATGAACTTTCCCGAACAAACGCGCAATGTGGCACTAGCTGGACACCTGCACCATGGCAAAACTTCATTCATGGACATGCTTGTTCTGGAGACTCATGACATCGCAGAGAAGCTTGACAAGCGGAGCGGACGAAAGCGCGACGAGAAGTTACGGTATACCGATGTTCACATTCTGGAGCGCGAGCGAGGAATCTCGATCAAATCATCACCCATGAGCCTAGTCCTGCAGAGTGCAAAGGGCAAGTCGCACCTGGTCAACCTCATTGACACTCCTGGTCATGTCAACTTTGTCGACGAGGTCGCAGTCGCCTTCAGATTGGTCGATGGCATATGTTTGGTCGTGGATGTTGTGGAGGGTGTGCAGGTCAACACGGAGCAAATTATCAAGCATGCTGTTTTGGAGGATATTCCTCTGACGCTCATCATCAACAAGATGGACCGCTTGATCTTGGAGCTTAAGCTGCCACCCAAGGACGCCTATTTCAAGCTCAAGCACGTTGTCGAGGAGGTCAACACGGTGATTACCAATGCCGTGCCCGCAAAAGCCTCGGAGAAGCGGATTAGTCCTGAAAAGGGCAATGTTCTCTTCTCCTGCACTGACCTCGGCTGGTGCTTCACTCTGCAGTCCTTTGCCAAGATGTACACTGATACATACGGTGATGTCAATACGGATGACTTTGCTCGGAGGTTATGGGGCGATGTTTATTTTAACCCGAGGAAGCGATCATTTACGCGAAAACCCGTTGAAGAGCGTGCGGCACGGTCATTTGTTCACTTCGTTCTCGAGCCCATATACAAGCTCTTCACACAGTCCATCAGCGCGCCCCCCGAGGACCTCAAATTGGTCCTGGCGTCCCTGAACATCCAGTTGAAGCCTGCACAGTACAAAGCAGATGCCAAGGACATTTTGAAAGCCGTCTGCCAGCAGTTCTTTGGCCCATCCACAGCATTTGTTGACATGATTGTCCGACACGTCCCATCGCCGATTGAAGGCGCACAGAGACTTTTGGAGAGAGCATACAGCGGCCCGCTGGACACCAAGGTTGCAGGGTCGATAAAGGCATGTGATCAGGATGGCCCACTGGTGATGCACGTTACCAAGCTGTTCAACACATCAGACGCCAAGAGCTTTTACTCGTTTGGTCGCGTTCTGAGCGGCACTGCGCGACCCGGCATGTCGGTGCGAGTGCTTGGAGAGGGTTATTCGCTGGATGATGAGGAAGATATGACCATTGCCACTCTTGGTCAAGTCTTTATCGGCGAGACCAGGTACAACATTCCCACAGACGGTGTGCCCGCAGGAAATCTGCTTTTGATCAGCGGCGTGGATAACTCAATAGTCAAATCTGCGACTATTGTAGCCCCCAAGTTTGAGGATGACGAGGATGCGTACATTTTCAAACCAGTCACACATTTTACCGAGTCCGTCCTCAAGGTTGCGGTGGAGCCCATTAACCCGTCGGAGCTGCCCAAGATGTTGGACGGGCTGCGAAAAGTGCAAAAGTCGTATCCTCTGCTTGATACGAAGGTGGAAGAATCCGGTGAACATGTCATCCTGGGAACAGGGGAGCTCTACATGGATTGTGTGCTCCACGATCTGAGGCGGCTGTATGCCGATATGGATATCAAGGTATCTGATCCTGTGACCCGCTTCTGCGAAACAGTGGTAGAGACGTCGGCGACAAAGTGCTACGCCATCACACCAAATAAGAAGAACAAGATCACCATGGTTGCGGAGCAATTGGAAAAGGGTATATCGACGGACATTGAGACGGGCGCCGTCAAGATTCGTGATCCGATTCGCAAAACGGCCAAATTTTTCGAGGAAAATCACGGCTGGGACAAGCTTGCGGCACGAAGCATCTGGGCTTTTGGGCCGGATGACATGGGGCCGAACATTTTGCAAGATGATACTCTGCCTGCCGAGGTGGGTCGCGCATCCTTGATGCGGTTCCATTTGGATACATGCTAACAAAACTGCAGGTCGATAAGAAACTCCTCAATACTGTCAAAGAGTCTATCCGGCAGGGATTCAGCTGGGCCACCAGAGAAGGTCCCCTCTGCGAAGAACGTAGGCTGCACCCCCAAACTCATCCCCCCTTCTCTCGGCGGGTTCTGGGACCTGCTACTGACTTTGACCAGCGATTCGAAACACAAAGTTCAAAGTGACGGACGTGTTACTAGCAGGAGAGGCCATCTCCCGCGGCGGCGGCCAGATCATTCCCACGTCGCGACGCGCATGCTACTCCTCGTTCCTCATGGCGTCCCCACGGCTGATGGAGCCCGTGTACGCCGTGTCGGTGACGGGGCCCGAAGACTCGCACACCGAGGTGTACAATGTGCTGTCGCGACGTCGGGGCCATGTATTGTCCGACGGCCCCGTGGCCGGGACGCCCCTGTATCGCGTCAACGGCCTGATTCCCGTGATTGACAGTTTTGGGTTCGAGACGGACCTCCGGATCAAGACGCAGGGCAGCTCCATGGTCAGCTTGGTGTTTGATAACTGGAGTATTGTACCCGGCGACCCATTGGACCGGGAGCAAATCATCCGGCCGCTGCAGCCGGCATCGGCACAGGCGACAGCCAGAGATTTCGTGCTCAAGACGAGAAGACGGAAAGGGCTGAGCGAGGATGTGAGCGTCAAGACGTTCCTAGAACCGGAGTTTTATCAGAGCCTGATGGAGAGCGGCATGCTGGGGGATGCATAAGGTTGACGCTTGGGACGGCCGGCGACCATTTTTGGCAAAACAGCTACTTGTAGTTTAATGTAGACAAGGGGCGTTTGAATTCAGGGGCACTATTGTTTATCGTGTACATGCAGCATGGGCACGGGAGATGGGCGTTTGGGCGTTTGGGCGTTCCCGACGCTCGGTCTCGTATACGGATCAAAGAAGGCCTGTACATTGCAAACCACGTTGACGCTTACATGCCAAGTGGCCAGTAGCCCATGTGTGCGAATGGGTGGCAAAGGTCCCAAGATTTTAAGCCGTAAAGAATGTCTGCGTCTTGAGGCGACAGGCGGCACCACGTGAAGATTGAAGCGCGGCCGCTCGCAAGAGGCACCCTAAACGACGTACACGTACGGAAAGCGTCATTACACGGACGCACGTAATGTCTCGACATGGAGCCTCTGTTTGCATCGTCGGTAGTTGTCGGGTGCCTAGGTCTCGCACCTCGCCCAATTCGTTGCAAGCGCTGCTGCCGCGGTGTGACGGCCCATCAAATTGATGCCTGTACCCGCTCACGCACCGTCTGCGGCTGAGTGTCCAGTCTGGTACGTACCAGCAGTTGACATGTCTGGTATGTAATACGGACGGAGCAGACCTCCGCGACTTGGACGAGGTCACTGCGCACGTAGTGATCGGAGACATCCCGATCAGCACAACTCCGTAAAAGATCGGATAAGATACGCGACTCAGTCATTTGCGGCAATCTTCTCCGCTACGCACGGCGCTTTGCCACCGATAAAAGGCACACGTCGAGCATATTGCCACTGCAGCCCATAACTCAATCCCATTCCCCGGTATTTTTCTGTCCCGCCCAACTCTAATCGCCTCCTTCTCCCAGCGCGTGGCCGAGCTAGCAAATGACCAAGGTTGCATTGGCAGCGGAGGCAAGGCGACAACCCTTGCTCCTGTCGAGGCGCCGCCCGTGGTTCCGATGCATCCCAGGACGGAAATGGCATCGCCCGCCTGGGAGTTCCAGTTCTTCTCTCATCTCCCATTACAGCAGGCGCCCGTCTGTGCATAGCCGAGGCTGGCATGTCCCTGTTTGTGTTTCTGAAGCCGCGCCGGGCAAGCTCGTGATTTGCCTGAAGGGGCTGGATCCGGACAATGTGCCTCCCGTCTCGTGATTAGCCTTTGCTGCATGGACCGACGATCGGGCGGCGGCGCGCGGGGGCACAGGGCTGGGACCCATGGCGGCAGATGGCATCATGGCCAAGAGGTTGCCGTCGTGATGGGCGGCTCTGGGCACGCGGAATGTCGGTGTGTCTTGTACGATTTGCCCACGGACACGGAACGTGGGCTCGTGCTTGGGGATAAGCTGTTGAGCTTGCCTTGCGTTGGGGATGGCGGCACTAGCGGGCTGGTCTAGCTACCTAGGGACGATTATCACGACCCATGCGTGTGGTCTGGTTGTATTGCCACCCTTGCCTTTATACATGGACTAACCGGGCGTGGGCGACGCTTGCGACGCGATGGCTCGTAACGGAATGTGCGTCGTTGTATTCAACCAGGAATCGGCAAGCTACTGCGTCGTAGCGTGGGTGAATATACACACGCGTGCAGATGGATAGATAGATATATATATGTGTGTAGATGCGCCGTCCCGGTTTCTTGCCAACCACGAGACCATTCTTGCGGCGTATCAACAGCAGCAACCAAAGATGATGATGCGCTCCTCGTGGCAAGCGGCCCTCGCCGGCCTCTCCCTGCTGAGCTCCCTCGCGGCGGCGGCCAACCTCACGGGCTACGAATACGTCGTGGTCGGGTCCGGGGCCGGCGGCGGGCCTCTGGCCGCCCGACTCGCGCTGGCCGGGCACAAGACGCTCCTCATCGAGGCCGGCGACGACCAGGGCAACAACCCCAACTACACGGTGCCGGCGTACTCGGCGCGCTCGTCCGAGGACGAGAAGCTCGCGTGGAACTTTTACGTGCGGCACTACGCCGACGACGCCCGGCAGGCGCGCGACTACAAGACGTCGTACCGGACGGCCGACGGCACGCTGTACACGGGGCTCAACCCGCCGCCGGGCGCCGAGATGCTCGGCACGCTGTACCCCCGGACCGGCACCCTCGGCGGCTGCACCGCGCACAACGCCCTCGTCGCCATCTACCCGCACCGCTCCGACTTCGAGTACGTCGCCTCGCTGACGGGCGACGCCTCCTGGGCCCCCGACAACATGCGCAAGTACTTTGTGCGCATGGAGAAGAACCGCTACCTGCTGCCGCTGCTGGCCAAGGGCCACGGCTTCGACGGCTGGCTGGACACGGAGCGCGCCCCCATCACCCTGCCCCTCGAGGACCCCAAGCTGCTCAGCCTGATTGCCGGCGGCAGCTTCGCCCTCGGCAACTACTCGCGCCTGCTGCCCAACCTGCTCGACGTGGCCCTGGGCGACGCCAACGAGGACTCGGAGTCGCGCGACCGCGACGGCGGCTACTTCCAGATCCCGCTCTCCGCCGGCGACGGCCGCCGCTACGGCTCGCGCGAGTTTGTCGTCGCCACGCGCGACGCCAAGAACCCCGACGGCTCCAAGAAGTACCCCCTCGACGTGCGCATGAACTGCCACGTCACGCGCGTCGTCTTTGACGAGTCCGGCGGCGGCGAGCCGCGCGCCACGGGGGTCGAGTTCCTCGACGGCGCCTACCTCTACCGCGCCAGCCCGCGGTCCGGCTCGGCCGCCAAGGGCGTCCCCGGCTCGGCCACCGCCTCCAGGGAGGTCATCATCGCCGGGGGCGCGTACAACTCGCCGCAGCTCCTCAAGCTCAGCGGCGTCGGGCCGGCCTCGGAGCTCGCGCAGTTCGGCATCCCGCTCGTCAAGGACCTGCCGGGCGTCGGCACCAACCTCCAGGACCACTACGAGGTGGCGGTGCAGGGCCGGCTCCCGTCCGACTGGCGCTTCCTCTCGGGCTGCACCTTCAGCGACGACAACGACCCGTGCCTCGACCGCTGGCGGCGCCCGGGCCTGCTCACCGGCCGCGGGGCCTACGTGTCCAACGGCTTCGCGGCCGCCATGCTCATGAAGTCGTCGGTCGCGAGCGAGTACGACGCCTTCCTGTTCGGCGGGCCCGTCAACTTCCGCGGCTACTTCCCCGGCTACAGCTACAACATCACCGCCGACCACGACGTCTTCACCTGGGCCATCCTCAAGGGCCACCCGCGCAACACGGCTGGGCACGTGCGCCTGCGCAGCGCCGACCCGCTCGACGTGCCCGACGTGCTGTACAACTACTTTGACACGGGGAGCGGCGACAGCGCCGCCGACCTGACGGCCATCCGGGAGGCCATTGGCGTGGCGCGCGACGCATTTAGTCGCCAGCTCGTCAAGGTGGACGAGGTGCTGCCCGGCGCGGGGGTCCGGTCCGCCGCCGAGGTCGAGGCCTACGCGAGGGACACGGCCTGGGGGCACCACGCGTCGTCGACGTGTCCTATCGGCGCGGACGGCGACCCCATGGCCGTCCTGGACTCGAGTTTTCGGGTGAGGGGCGTCAAGGGCCTGCGCGTCGTCGATGCGTCTGTTTATCCTAGGATTCCGGGGACTTTTACCGCCCTGTCGACGTACATGGTTGGCGAGAAGGCGGCGGATGTCATCTTGAGCCAGAACAAGTAGGTGTTGCGTGTGGTGGTGGCGTGGGACCTGTGTATATTTTGGGCGTTTTATTTTCCGGCCAGCTTGCAGGGTTGTAGGAACATTGAAGTTTGGAGGGTTTTAATGTGGACAGGCGCGGCTGCTGATTGGCTGACGATCTGCCGACTGGGACGTGTATTTTGACTTGAGCAATAAAAACATGGCACTTACAAGAGAAATAATGCTAGTTCCTATTTCTATAGTCGATGAGAATAATCTTGTCAAGAGATTAATATTCCACCATTTTCCGGGAATAGATCTCCCTTGGATTGTGCAAGCTGGATGCTCACTACGGTACTGTGAATGTCTAAAGACGGGACGAACCGTCTATGACTCTATGGCGTCGTTCGATCCTGCCATGACACATACATGATCGTTGAAGTGATCATGTACTTTAGGCAACTGGTCACCTTGGCTGCTGGATAATTTTTGACCTTGTCTGCGCCTGACTTGGGTCGTTTCCTTTGTCCGAATTTCAAAGTCTGTGACGTCAACATAAGACCTACAGTTTATACTAATTCGATGATGAGACCAGTACGATGGCCGCCGAATCGGTAGAAAGTCCAACGCCGCACCACCCTCACCGACAAGAAAGTCGCCATCTCGCGTCATAAACACAGTCAATTCACCAGCCATGCCAAAGCTCCTCGACTTTCGCTGCGCCGTCATCACCGGCGGCGGCGGCGGCGGTATCGGCAAAGCCATGGCCCGCCACCTCGTGTCCAAGGGCAAGACGGTCCTGCTCGCGGGCCGCACGGAGTCCAATCTACAGTCGGCGGCCCGCGACGTCGGCGCCGCGGGCTACTACCTCCTCGACGTGGGCAAGACGGCCGACATCTCGCCCTTTGTGGACCGCATCACCCGCGAGCACCCCGAGCTAGACTGCCTGATCAACAACGCCGGCGTCCAGCGGCCCCTGGATATCCTCCAGGACGGCGACTTTGTGGCCAAGGCCGACCAGGAAATCGACATCAACGTCCGGGGCCCGATGCACCTGACGCTCGGGGCTGCTGCCGCACCTGCAGACCAAGCCCGGCGCCGTGATTATTAACGTGTCAAGCATTCTGGGCTTTGTGCCCTTTTCTGTTATCAACCCCGTGTACAATGGCACCAAGGCGTGGCTGCACTTTTGGAGCATGAACCTGCGCACGCAGCTGCGGCGGGCGTGCGCGTGGTCGAGATTGCGCCGCCCACGGTGGCGACGGACTTGCACCGCGAGAGGGAGGACCCCGACGATAACAAGAAGGAGAAGAATGCGCGGGCGCTGGGTGTGGACGAGTTTATGGGCGAGGTGGCGCGGAAGCTGGAGAGGGGGGACGAGATGATATCCGCGGGGGGTGGGAGCGACATTGTCGAAAAGTGGTATGGGATGTACGGCGCCCTGTACGATGAGACGGCGTCCAAGAAGTAGCGGTATCTTGTTGTTGGTGTTGTTACTGCGTGGTTGCTCGTTTGATGGGAGGGATATACAGAGATGATGGCCTTGGCGACGGGATTCCTGCACTTTTGGCAGTGAATTGGGTTGTGATATTGCCAACTCTGGCTCTAGCTTGCTGGAAAACTGGCTTCTTGTACAATAAATGAGGGGCACATCAACCGTCACGGCAGTAAATGAAAGCATTGCATCACAAGGGACAAGCTTGGCAGAGAATCAGCGGTTCTATTGACTAGTCGTCCTGATTTACGTACTGTATATTTGTCAGTTTCCACCTCTCGCAACCCCCGTAAGGAGAACAACTCACCACCAGCTGCCCGTTGTCGTTGCCAATGCGGTCATTCAGATTGATGCCCTGTCGCCCGCGGGTTCCCTCCTCAACCATGTTCAGTTCGGCGGTCAGCATGGCGCCGTCCACCGAGATGTCACCGGCAGAGTCAGAAAAGTCTGTCAAGAACGAGCCGTGTTGTCAGTCGTCTCTACTTGCACACCATCGGACGCAAACAGGATGATGGCATGTGAGTGGTAAAAAGCAAGACTTACTGACGCCGTTCCAGACGAACCAGCCGTCCGAGTTGCCCACAAAGTCGTTCAGATCAATGGTGGACTCATTCCACTCGTCGTCGCCGTAGGCGCACTCGGCGTGGAGGATGTGGCCGTCCTCGAGCCAAATGTTCCGCGAAGACTCGTAAAAGGACATGATGCGCGTGTTTGTTGATGTGTGAGGCGGGGGACGGTTGGGAATTCTTGGTCGGCGGTGTGATGCTCAAGCGTGCGGGAATAAGGCGAATCCAACCGCACTTTTATATCAAGCCGAGAGGGGGCTCCATGTACGCCAAGACACACCCACCCGCATAGACTGGATCCTTTGTGGCTATGCATCTCATGCAATGGGCCATGAGTAACGGGTTTTTTTGTCTTTTGGTTTGCAAATACTACATGGCGTCTGTGGCCCCCGCATGGAACTATTTGGTCTCAGTGCAGGCTGGCCAAACGTCACAGCAGCAAGCGATGGCCTGTTTTTTGACAGTGGGCCAGTACGTGGTTGACGATAATTGGGCTGTCGGTGTGTCATTTGCTGCAAAGCCGTTGGTTTTGTTTGTCAAGAGGGGGGGAATGTGTTTGAGGTTGAGGCCTCCGGTTCTTGTCGCCGTGCCACACGGCCACGACCAAAACAAAGGCATCAGCCGCAAAGGTTGCACAACAACAAAGAAAGGCGTCGCGAGAGCCGCCGAGTCGGGCATTGGCGAGGGAGTGCTGCCCTCGGCCTGTAGGGCTCACAGACTTGTTGTATTTATAGAGACCTCTGAGGCTTGAGGTCGTCTCGGAAAACCAAGGACCTTTGATACCTCCAAGGTGATGATTGAAAGGATATTTGCACCACACGTTCCGAGCCCTCGCCGCGAGGGGGGCCGTGATGCCCGTTCTGGCCCGTCGAACAGCGGGGGAGTGCCCATGATTAGCTGAAACAAAGGTCTCGGCAGGAGCCGCCACCAGCCCGCAGCGGGCCGTAGTACTTCTGGCGTCAACGGTTACGTCAATGGTGCACTGTGTGCAAGTATCCAGTAGGCACGGACCAGTTGACAGCTCGGCGGCCTCACGTTGACCCAGCGCCTCTTTCAAGCTGCGGAGGGGGTCGCTCTTGCCCTTTGCGCGCCAAGGCCATTCATTGGCTTCCGTCAAACGCGCGACCAGTCTTGATTGTGTGCCCTGAACAAACGCACCTGCCCGCATCTCAAAATGATCTACCAACGTTGCGGATCCGAGCCCGGCTCCCTCCCCAGTAGTAACATCTAAAACAAGTACCTTTAGGTGCCTGTAGGCATTAAGGTTTTTTTAAGCGCATAAAGACTGTGCCAATAGACGCCATGCCAAAGAGGACATCAGATAACGGGAGGAACCAGCCGGATCCTATCAACTTCCAGAGCAGGTTGCAAGGAATCTCGAAAATAATCAAGAGGAGGGTTCCATAGGTTTTCAAAGTCGAAACTCGGTCGTTTAAGCAAAAACTTGCATGGTCAGTGCAGGTGATTTCTGCGATGAGCATAGGACAAGTCGCCGACATGGTCTTCCGTATATTGTCAGATTGGGGCGCAAAACAACGGGCAAGCACCCAGCAACAATTGCCCCTGATATCGGTGTGTCCGTGGCGAGATCCAAAGCCTTGCCGGGCATCTTGCCCACGCGCAGTTGGTACTGAACCATGAATGATGGAGGCGCCATTTTCTCGAAATGGTGCATCCGGAGCCCAAAGAGGACCGAGGACCGCCGAGGACGTAGAGTTGGAACTGCCGCAAGGGATAGTCTTGTTCTCAATTTCCTCCACCAAGCTGCAGACTTGTTAGATGGGCGCCTCGACTCTCCATCAAACTCGCAAACGTACGATCCAAGTCCGAGCATGTCACGTAAACGAAAAGCCTCGTGACTTTTTGCAGTGAAATGTTGGCCTAGAGAGTTGATATAATCCACGCCCGTCATCCACTCGTCGTGGGTTAGCTTAACATCGCGGGCAAAGTCGTGTACGTGCCGGATGAAGCTGGTTATAATATGCTCATGACGAGTTGTTGCGTTTGGCCCTGTGGTCTCGGCAACAAGTTTCGCAAAATCAGGGTCGAATCTGCTGTTCTGATCGGAAAACTCATTGTATCTCATGGCTATTGTCTAGTTCTCACGGCAAAAGCAGCGACATGGAGAATTTTCTTGAATGGTCGGCCGAGTAAAGTCTGGTTGTGAGGAACCATTGGTGCTTTGTTTCCATGACTTTGATAGCGAATTCGCAACTGTTTGAGTAGCAGGATATTGCATTATGGTGTTGGGCTAAAATAGTGACTCTGAAAGCGCTTGCGTGTTCAACCATGTCTTCGCTATGACTCGTGTGGATGGCCTAGAGTCCGTAGACTTTGATTTAAGGCAGAAGTGTTACACGGAAATGGGCCGGTTACACAAGGGCTACGGTCACGGGATTAGGGCAGAAGGTCCTCACCGACTTCTTGTATAAATAGACGGCTTTGGTCCCTCAAGGCCTTGAGGAAAACCAAGGACCTTTGATACCAAAGACTGTTATTAGATGAATTGAGTAATTGCTCCAAGCTAGGCCCTTGTCACAAGAAGTCCATGTCTGCGCCGAGAATGGAACCCCAGCTAGGGGCGTTTCCCAACAAGATGCTGGGCGCGATTTCTTGAAGATTGTTGAGAGGGGATTGATGACGATTCATTGTCTCGAAGCTGTCTACGTGGCCCGTTTATAAAGGGGCTACAGTCTCGGTTGCGTTGGCCGGGGGAGGCTGAATCGCGACTCGTTACAACAACTAGGAGCTGTCGACTACAGTCTATCCCCAAAGCGTCTGGTAGCTATGAATGACTTCAATGTTGATAACAAGGTTTATATAGATTATATACAGGGAATTCTTTATTAATTAAAGCACTTTGTCTAAATAGCTGTTTATTATCCGGGTATACTAATTATAAATTGTATCACAACTTATATTAATAAGAGATTTTAATTAACTTATGCATTGTGGCCCCTCTGCCCCGCATATTATCCACAAGGCTAGTCCTAGTCATGTTCTTCAAACGGCGTGCCAGGCAGACGAACTATTAGTGTGATAGCATTGAAATGCAATAGAGAATACGTCAAGTGGTGCTTTGCTTACCACGCAGCCGAGAGGGCAGGCTCATCCATGTGTGCATGAGTCAATAGATGACCAGGACCCCTACATGGCCGCAACAATGCCATTGATGCAATTCATAATTGGGCGGCTATTCACTACCAGGTCCTGGGCCAAAATATTCACCGCGCCGCAGGTCACTCTTTACCCTCGTCATCACGCTCGGCGCTTCATCGCGCCACATGTGTCATAATTTCGGTCCCTGGACTCGAACTACCACTTGACAACTCTCCCCGGTCTTCCAAACCTGCTCCATCCCTACCGGTACGGCCGGCGGCGTGAATGACCTAGCAGAGACATGAATTATATAGAATGCGGTTGTATTGTATGACTCGTCAGTCTCTTCTATTCGCGTTTATATAAGTGCGAGGACACCTGCATCAAGCCGCTTGTACCAATCATTCCCGCACTTCCCATTAGCACTAAATACTAGCCTGCGCTATTATATCTATTTGCCTTGTACAAACCTCTCTTTAGCGTTTTACCACCGCCTCCTTTACAATGGTTCGTGTTATTACGATTACACTAGCCGCCGTGTTGTCTACTTTTCTAGTATCGGCGGCAACTATTCACAAGAGACTCATTGGCGGAGAATATGCCAAGGGCGGTGAATTTCCATTTATTGTTAGTATACGACAAAGCGGGAGTCATATTTGCGGAGGCAGTTTACTAGACAGCACTACCGTTCTTACTGCTGCTCACTGTATTAAATGTCTTGACTTTGTCAAAGCAGGAACACTGGTAAGTCTACTCCCCCTTTAGGCTTCCAAGAGGTCTCACACCTCGGCGTAGCCGGCAAAGGATAACAAGGACTAAGCTCATTATACAGGACAGTCGCCAGGGCGGAGTAGAAGTGGAGGTTGTATCCGCTGCGTTGCACCCTCGTTACTCCCGGATCCGGCATCATGATGATATTGCCATCTTGAAACTAGCAACTCCGATTGAGGAGAGCGACACGATTCGCTATGCAACGCTACCGGCCAGCGGCTCGGATCCCGAGCTGAATACCACCGCAGTAGTCGCGGGCTGGTAAGTGCCATCCAAGTTTCGCAGTGTAGGATATAGTCGAAAAAAAAAACGCTGACTAGTAGGCAAGGGGCTTGGACGGTCGCAACACGGGTCCTGCTGACAAACTCAGCAAGGTGAATATTACGATTCACGAGCGCGGCGAGTGTTCAGAGAAACTCAAATTGGGCGCGGTTGAAGACATAATATGCGCTGGCGACGATGGCAAGGATGCATGCGAGGGGGACAGCGGCGGTCCTCCTGTCGACCCCGTGACGGGACATGTCATCGGCCTCGTGACATGGGGGCAGTGCCGAGATCCTCCCACGGCATATACCAGGGTCAGCAGCTACATCGACTTTATCAACGGATTCGTTGGAGGCTCTGATTCTAGTCCCCTTTTCAACTTAGGGCGTAAATGTCGGGATCTGGTTCAGTCGGTCGGGAATGCCACTGGCCCCGGTGACGCTGGCATTCCTTCGACCCCAACTGGGGAAGAGGAAGAGGAAGAAGAAGAGGAAGAGGAAGAGCAAGGCCCGACGGCTTTTGATGTTTTGATTGCAAAAATTAGGGAGCTGGCAAAACAATGTGGCTTGAAAGAAAACGAAAAGATGACTCCAGAAATACAAAAGTGTATTGCACGGTTACATGAAGAAGGTGTAACACGGCGCTGATTGTGTTGAGTGAGCAGTATCAAACAACTAGAACGAGCTGAGACTGGTGGTTTAAGAGGTTACAAGTCAAGTCTCATCATTCAGTGGGAGGAAGCAAGGTTAATGAAGATGTGGTATATCGAGTTGTTTTGCCTTGGTAGTCTGCCTTGCTAGCTTTAACATAGTAGGCTAGGTGTCGACGGTGCTTGTTTTATATTCTTTCCACTTAATGACGCATATTCGTGTCTGTCAGAGTGAATATTAGCAGAGTATCCTTCCAAAAGGACATTCTAACCGGTTAATAATATATGTACTCTCACTCTATAGTATTAGCGGAAACGGGACGTATATATATAAAATCTAGCCCCCATAAGTTGAGCTATAAGCAACTTGATAAATAAGTTTAAAATATGTATATATATAAACTTATATATTAATATAAAAGTTGAATATTTATATTAATAATTATAAACTATAATATAAGTAATATAATAAGGGAGTAATAACTTTTATAATATTATAAACCAGGCTTATTATAATTTTATTTCTAAATAATATTAAAGTTATAAATAATTACGTCTTTTATAGTATTATTAAATACTTTACATAATTATTAGGGCCGCTAGTAGTTATATATATACACGTGATTCGTCCTATTAAACGCTCGTCTTCAGCGCAGCCTCACTTCCCGAGATCATGCATGCATAAAATCTCATCTTCCTTCCATTCTATCACGGCAAGTGAAATAGAAGATACAAAATATATGTGTACTATCTTCTCACCTTACTCCCTTCCCTTATCCATTGAATGGACACATGCAGCCTTATTGCTAGACACCATGAGGCGCTCCCCAACACAGAGAAGCATTTCGGGAGCGCAGATACCATCGACTCATGAATCAAAGAGGCCAGAAGAGGCCGCGAATTTCCCGTATGCAATCCTAGATACCGGAAAGCCCCAATTCAGGCTACTTGAAGTACAGCCAGGCAAACCACAGACCGAAATTGTAGGACGCCTGTTCCACGCATGCCTCGACGAAAACCCCGGCTTTGAGGCTCTGAGCTACACGTGGGGAAGTCCTTCGCCAACCTACGATATTTCAATCAACGGCTGTGCATTTCCGGTGGCTGGGAACCTCAGAAAGGCACTAGGCGACCTGCGCTATCCAGACAAGCCGCGAATTCTTTGGGCAGATGCCATCTGCATCAACCAGCGTGATAGTGACGAGAAGGCGCATCAGGTAAAACTAATGCGAGTAATATTCGCAAAGGCGACTGCTGTCTGTGCCTGGCTCGACCACAGCGTGCAGGCTGGCGACTCTTCGTTTGATAGCCTTTGTTACCTGGGTGAAGGCACCGAGCTCGATAGCTTCGCCGATCCAAGTTACTGGTACCCGGTTGCAGGTATATTCCGAAATCCCTACTGGCGAAGGCTCTGGATACAGCAAGAGCTCATTTTGGCAAAGGAAGTCATGGTTTACTGCCATCGGGATGCATTCAGCGGGCGCCAGCTGTTGGGGTTTCAACAAAGAGTTAATCAAGCATATTTCCAACCTCGAGCACATGAAAGTCCATTGCTGAAGCTTTGCACATACATGAATTACCAAGAGGACGTGGGAGGCGTGTCTATTCGTGAGCGAGAGAACATGCCTCTAGGGTGCAAAACTTTTGTCGAAAAGCAACAGGTTCACGAAGTGAAGCATGACACCATCTCCAAGCCACCATTTTCATCATTGCTACAGTTATTTCTTCAGTCAGGCACCCTGAATATGGCGGAGCCTCGAGACCAGCTCTATGGTATACTAGGGCTGATTCCACGGGCTGACGAGAGTCAGGTACGAGTCGACTACAACGCTCCGGTGGTCAAAGTCCACTCGCAGGTTTTTAGCATTTACCTGTCGAATCACAGCAGTCTCGACTTTTTGTGTTTCAGCAGAAAGACAGCCGATGGTGCTTGTCGAGGCGATATAATCCCGACTTGGATGCCCAATACCCCTACCATTCATTGGAGCCAAGTGTATGCCAGCCAGGCTGCGGGCAGCACCACAGCAAGCGCGGCCTCTATTGATTCAGAGAGTCTAGTTCTGTCTGTCCGAGGTCTCTTGTTGGATAAAATCGCCTTTGTCGCACCCAGGCAAGACTTTGACAAGCTCCCAATACTGGAGTGCTTCTCAATCCTAGAAAGCTACTGTACACGACTCTGGCCGAGCGATACTCAGCGGCCGCTGTGTGAAAAGAAACATGTAACGTTGCTTTTGTTTCCGTGGCTATCCAAGGAACGGTACCGTGAGATGTGGAAAGTCGACAGACCAACGTCGGAAGAGAGAAGGAGCCTGCTTCGCAATATACGTGGCATTGCGGCAGAGAATGACGGAAAAGACGAGTTGACCATGGGACATCTCGCACTCGGGACTACCAGTGTCTCCTGCGATAGATATGAGGCATTCGGTCCGGTATATACCAGTCTCTCTTGTCGAGTTTTGGCGGGCACGGAAAATGGGAGATTGGGCACCTTGCACCACAGCGCCAAGGCAGAAGAGGGGGATCAAGTCTGGATACTCCATGGATGCCGCATGCCGATGATTCTTCGGCCGGTACCTGACAGTAGGCGTCGGTTTACTCTCATTGGATGGATGTTGCTTCCAGGGGCAATGCATGGCGAAGCATTCTCGAAAGATGGGGGGCAGGATGCTTTGCACAGGAGCACAACAATTCAAATCGTATAAGTGGTTGGCTTTACTTGCTCCGCGTTTCCTATTGCCCATGACTTTGTGCTGTAAATATGCGAGTTTTCCCAGCATTACACATGAGCTGGCGTTGTCCTACGACGCGATCGCCCCTAGGGTTGGGTAACCCTAACCCTCACCTACCCTACGTATTGTGTCTTTTTCAAGTACTTTTACTAGCTTTTATATGAGGCTTTCTGGTATCCCTTGAGATGGAGTCGTGTTTTGAGTTTTCCAAGCTGCGTAAATGATAAAATGACGCCCCAATGTGCTGCAGACGACTTTTGAAGCCGTCTTCGCTCACGTCCTACAATTATATGTCCTCTTGCCCTCTTTGCCTTTGGTGCATATTTACGAGGCCGGCCAGGCCTTTTGGGAGTTTGCAGTATCGCCATCACATTTCCAAATAATTCAAGCATCACACATAAAAGTAGATGAACGCAAGTTCAAGTGCATCAAGTTGCCTACATCTTTTATAAACCAGCTCCCCAAGACCAGGAATGTCAGAGTTCATAATGTCGGGCTACTTGCAGCCACCGTCACATATACCTATACACATCATGCACAACTGCCAAAAATGCCAATCAAGTCCCACTAGACCATCCCATTCATCCCTAAAACATTCTCGTCATAATTTCTAAAAAACCAATCCAGCCGTGCCCCCTCCTCCAGTTCACACAAAGCATCTCCCACTGGTCATCTACTCGGCCGCCATCTTGGCATACTCTGCCTCACGGTCAGGCGCAGCCCTGGCCGCGCACTCAAAAAGCACCGTGTACATGCTATTCCTGTACGTCTTGTCGCAGTCATGAATAGCCAGCTCGCAGCTGTTGTAGCTGGGGAACTTGGCGCACAGGTCAACCTTGTGCTCCCTCGTCTTCTCAAGCGACACGGCCGCGTCCAAGCACTGGTTGACAAACTCGTCGCCCATGTTCTCGGCAAAGTAGCACGCCTCCACCAAGTACTGGCACATCGTCTCGTCCTGGCCCTTACTAACACACGTAGGCTTGTGCTTGGCCAGAAAGTCGCCCGGCATAGAGGGCGGGCGGGCCAGCACACCGGTAATCTTTTCCGCAATCGCCTTGAGACTGTTAAAGTTCTTCTTTTGCTCTTCCCAGAAGCTCTTGGTCGCCTCGTCTTGTGTCTCGACGTACTTGGCCACTCGGGCTTGGAGGGCCTCGTCGACAAGCGTCTTCTCGAGGCCAGATACCATTGTCAGGTAGTGAGACACGGGGACGGGGTCGGTGGGATTTTCCAGGACGACGGGGATGTACGGGGTGATGGCGCGGACGAGGCCGCGGTGGTTGAGGAGCTCGGGGTCGTAGCCGCTGGGGTGGCGCCTCTGGATTTCCGCGACTCGGTCGGCGTCGTGGACCGCGCCGAGCTTCATGGCGATGAGGAGGCGGAAGTTTTTGAGGAGCTCGGGATCTTGCACGGCAAAGTCGGTGTCTTTGAGGTCCGATTCCTTCATGCGCCCGTACATGACGTCGACAATCTCCCGCGTGTGGCGGACCACAAGTGTCTGGAGGTATAGTGGTGAAAGGGGCTTTTCAGATGCCGAGCTCACTTCAACCTCCAAGAAGGACAAGGGGGATAGCGTGTCTTTGGGAAGGTTCAAAAGTGCCTTGGACTGCCCGAGAACAAATGAAACGTCTAGCGCCCGTGGCAACACCGGAGGTTTCGATCTCACATACTCGGTTGTCTCCTCGACTCTCTTATTGATAAAGGTATGGATATCAGGGTATTCAAAGTCCTTGTCCTCCCCTGCAGGTATGGCAAGAAGTAGCCCTGCAGGTCCAGCCACACCCAGTTCAGGATGCTTGCGGATCGAAGTTGCCCAATTTTTGAAAAAGGCAAGAATCTTCTCCCCCTGCCAGCCGCTATTGGGATACGTCTCCTTGAATTCCGGGGATTCGATATACTTGATAAACTTGTCATTGACGTCGACAGCCGCCTTGTCCAGTTCAAAGAGCGAGCCGTTGGCCGTGGCAATGGCGGTACGAAGCAGAGTGTTGCGCTGGCGGCGCAACACGGCTCCCCATTCCTCTTCTTCAAGGTTTGTAATGGCCTCCTTGGACCTGGTCTCGAGCTCGGCCGCGTCTGGCACGGCGCTCTGGTCGGGAAACAGCTTGGGATCAAACAGCTCAGCCGAGCCTGTCGCATTCAGCGAGCCAATGGTGTCGGCCGACTCGGAGAGGACATTGAGCGAGTCGAAGAACAGGGCGTTCTCCGTCTTGAAGGCAAAGGACGACTTCTGCTGGGTCTCGTACGCCGAGTAGGTGTATCGGTAAATGTCCTCGAGCGCGTGAGCCCAGACCGCGTCTCGCTTCTCGGCCAGCTCCAAGACGGTCGGCGGCGTGGGAGGAGGGCGGAAGAACTTGACAACGGCATTGACAAGGTGAAGCGCGATGCCGACCGGCCAAAAGGGCGTCAGGAGCAGGGCATCGGCAACGTTGCACAAGACGCCCTCGGCCACGATGAAGCCGGCGGGCACCTTGTCCTCGACCGAGGCGCCAGTTTCAACGGCACACCCCAGAAAGGGGACGATGGAGGTGACGGCCGCGAAGAAGTGCAGAGGAGAGACGTGGTCCCTGAAGGCGTCGATGATGCCCTTGACGTACAGGACGCCGCCGACGGCGCCCAAGGCCTTTCCGACCTTGGAGAGACCGGTGCCGCCGGAACGAATTTTGGGCGAGTTGGGCTCCAGTGGCTTGTACTCGAGGGCCTTGGTCCGCAGCTCCTTGTACGAATTCGTCCCGTACTTTTCCTCAAACGACTTTGGTACTTTGCCCAGGCGCTTCTCGGCCGACTTCTCAAACGAGTTTTCCGACACACTGTTGGCCCTCTTGACTTGCTCCTCGCTGGCCGGGATGTTCTTCTCTCCCGGCGGCTTGCCCTCCTCGCCCGGGTTCGGCGGCTTCTCTCCCGGCGGCTTACCCCCGTTGTCCACATCCCCTGCCTTGATGTCCATGGTCTTTTCAATCTCGGCGGCTCTAATACAGAGAAGGGCCTGTCGTTTGCGCAGCAGTCCAAAATCACGTCTGCTAGGCGCCCCCGGGCAGAGTTTGGTTTCCAAGGCTTTGTAAGTATCCCCAACAGAGTCAACGTTGCGACTATGGCCGATATCGTAGCTCTTCTTCCAATTTCTCTGGAGCCATTTTGAATCTTTTGGAATCCAGCCGCTCTCCACTGCCCCCTCCAACGAAGATCTCATGCTGATGATTCCATTCTCCTCAACAATAGCTGGGTGCCAGTCCTTGAGCGGCTTGAATTCCTTGACGGCATCTGCGCCTTTGAAATTTTCTACATGCTCGTCCCAAAGCTTCTTCAGATGCTCTTCTGTTATGGCTCCCTTGTTTTCCTTGGCTTCGAGTGTGGCTTTAAAGTCGACCGCTTTGCCGTCGGCAGTCTCGACGATTTTGAAACCCTCGTATGGCTTGAAAGAAGACAACGAGGCTCGCACGCGGCCCTGCCAGACCTGCTTCAGGGATTCCATAAGCTTTGTCTTGACCTCCTGGACCTTGGTTGCCAGTTCTTCCCCCGACAGCTTGTCGTACTCGTAGTTCGTTTTGTGCTGGAGACCCTCGAGCCTAGTCCGCACCTTCTCGAAGAGTTCTCCGTAATTACCGACTCCATTGAAGACACGCCCTTCCCTCACTTGGGTCGCCGCGCCGCTATTCGCATACAGCTCGGCAGTCCTCTCAATGTCGGGGAAGTGTTCGGTGGAGACCTTGCGGAGATTCGCGCCTTTGTTTTCTTCAACGAAGTTGATGAATTCGTCAAAATTGCAATTGGCACCACATCCGGTGGCAATCTTTTTCTCCCCCACGGTCATGGCATCCAGTTTATAAGCATAGTAGAAGTAGAATCGCTCGTAGATGCCAACCTCGGAGTAGGCGGCTGCCATGACGGCGAGGCCCAAGAGGGCTAGGCCATGCGTGAACCGCATGGTGGCGGAAGTCAATATCTGTAAGTAAAGAATGTGGTGAAGAATAAACTAATGAATGAATGTGTGAAGCGAGTGAGTTGATGAAGTGATGGGTGAAGCCCGTGAAGAAGATGGGATCCAAGTGGAAAACGACATGAAGATATATACTCCATTCTTGCTTACATGCCGGGACATAACGAAACTTGCTTTCTCTTCTTCTCGTGTAGTTGGAAGTATATGCCTCGTGATGACATGACCACTAGCTTCCATGGCTAGTTTGCCGAGTGGATAGGCATAGGACAAGATGGCTATGCCGTCATGTCATGCTATTGTCCAGATTATGCAGGATCGCATGATTATGCACATGAATATGCGTCGGTATACGAACAGCATGCTGGAATGAAGAAAGGGATTTCCGAGATGGTGATCGTCACAGACGTGCGGCATTGTAGATCGACATAGCCATGCCGGCAGTGCAGCCGCCTTGCTGCGTGCTTGACCATCATGACTCTTGGTTTCTTGGCATATACTGAAACGAAAGTGCATAATGGCATGAATTGAGACTATTTTGCAAAGAGCAAGTAGTGAAGGCTGCGTCAGAATTTTTGGGAACCCTTGTGGTGCTGAGTTTGAGGCTGGCAGCCGAGTTGTCGGTCAAAGCCGATGATACGACATAACCACGACTCGCAAGCCGAGGGAATTTCTGTCGTAGGGACGCGTGCTTGGAGGGTATGAAGTGGGATGAAACATTGAGAAAGTTACCATTCGACATGTAATTAAACAGGGTGATTCACCCTCACTGGGCTGTTGGTGATATTACCTTGCTTTTGCAACACGTGTCTTTGACAAGAGACGGAAGAGAAGGAGACATGGATGTATGCCTCTAGCAAGTGCCATCAAGGGACACCAACTGATGGGAAGCAATACGATGCTCCACGAGAGTCAGGCGACGTGCTCGGTACGAGTTGACCTCCAATGCCGGGCTCCCCAATTTTGCTCTCCGGGGCGATGCATAAGCGATAACTCCGCGGTAATAGCCCCTGCTTGGGATACCCATTTCCCCGGTATCGGCTATGAAAATAAGGACTGCGAGTTGAGCCCGACGGCCGGGGTTCAAGCTCGCGAATCGCACGATGAAGCGCCAAGTGATGTTGGTCGTCTTTCCACGTGTAGGCTCCATGTCTCTGGTAATAACGAGGATGGAAACTCTAGAATGACTCGGCTCGGTGGAGACCGGAGGGATTATCCGTTACATATGTACCCTTATTGCGCTGCGCAATGATCGACGGCGACAACTACCGATGCGCGACAAAGAGACCAGACGCATTGCCGTTGCCTGACGTGTGTCAATGTTTCATAGACTTGTCAGCTAGTTCATAGTGCGAGGCTTTTGTTGCACTAAAAGCTCGTGGTGTGAGGATGCATAACGCCGAATATAACCCCAGACTAGCGTGACGCACATAAGGCTGTGTCTTGTCATGCCATGCCATGCCATGCCATGCTTATTGCCAACTGTTGTGAAGAAGGCGCGTTCACATGGCGGTCATCTGATCCAACTTGTCCGGATACTTGCATGATGCTGTAGACGTCTGAGATATATATATCCCAACGTCTAGTCCTGCCTTTGCTTCTACAGGCCAGCATTCATCCGTACTCGCTCATTGTTCCCACATCCACACACTCATTTAAAACACACCAAAGCGTCAAAATGGTTCGATTTGCTGCCGTTGCCCTGGCCTGTGAGTTGCTCTACCTCTGTTTCCACGCATCATGCCCAGCTAACGCAGCCGCAGTGGCCGCCACCTTCATGACCGTCGCTGCCAGCGCCGACGCGCCCCAGCACGGCACCGTCCAGCACCTTGAGCAGCGCCAGGAGGATGCCAAGCAAAAGGAAGAGTTGTCACAGCTGTTCCTGGAATACGCAAAGACGGCCGACGATATAAAGAATCTGATGAACAAGTTGGCGGGAAAGTGACGTGTCCGCAGATGACGACGGGCCCGGCAGTCAAGGTGAATCGATTGATTCCCTCTTCTACTCGGCGGCGTCTAAGCGGCAGTGTATTGTCATGTCTGGGTGGCCGTATGCCCCCCACGTTAGTCACGGAGAGAAAATGTTGCGCATTTGATAAAACATCTACCCCGTCTCCTGTGACACTATATTCGCTTCCCCTTGTGATTAATCGTCCCACGCCGCCGGATTTCAACTGCCGAGCGGGTCTATGTCCTAGTACCTCACGACATCGAGGTAAGCGAGACGTTGTGGGGTGTTTGTTCCCGGGGTCAATGACCAATCGGAAAATTGCGGTAAATTTAAATCTTGAAATAGAAATTAAACGGCCAGTAACCGGAGCAGAGGGGCCCCCGCAATGACCCGCCTGCCTCGTAATCTCTTTAGTTGCCCAATGGCTCGTGGAGACTCGCTTACCCAGGAGACTTGTATGGCAGAAGAGGCCCCACGAGCCACATTGCAGCTAAAGAGATGCGGAAAATTCCACTTGACCTGTTCAGGGGCAGTTGAAACCGAAATGTCAAGTCCATCCATGTCGGTTCGTCCCTGAAAGCACCCCGCCAGTGTGACCCACACACCGACCGTCCAGATTACTTTGCATTGAACCCCGCGCACCACCTGGTGGTGATGAACTTTGGGGGATGTGATTTTTAATGGCCAGGCGCGAATGTGAAAGGGAGCTTTCAAGTATACATGCATATCCATTGTATTTTTTTGCATTCCTCAACCTGACTGAAAATTTTGCTGGCGCTACAGTATGTAAAGACTAAATATATAAACACCATGTGCTTGGTTATACCCAAACTACCCGTTGACAACTAAGTAGGTAACGTCATCGGGTAGAGAACCGTGTTATTCCAGAGAAAATACCATACAAACACGCATCGCAATACGTGGCCAGACGTATGCCTTGTCGATTATTCCTCCAGCCCCGATTCTTTCAACAACGTCACCACCTTGTCGTTCCCCCCTTGCTTCGCCGCCCACAAGACCGACCGATCCTTTGTATCCTTGAACCACACATCGGCACCTTTACTCATCAAGTATGCCACCGGCTCATGTTGGCCCTTGTACGCCGCGCGATACAAGGCGGTCCCCCGCTCGTCCCTCTCAATCACCACCGAATTGAACCACCATCCCTCTACCAGCTCCAGATCAGCACCATGGTCAACCAGCAACTGCAGCGCCTCCATATTGCCCCGTTCGGCCGCGGCAATATGCGCGCCGCTCTCGTCCGGGTGCCATCTGTGCTGAAGCATCAGACGTAGCATCTCCAGCGACGGATGCTCGCCAACGACGGCCCAAGTACCCGGCTCTACATCGTCGTATCCCCATGCCTGGTTGGGGTCCACGCCATTCTCCAGGAGCAAGCGTGCAATCTCGACGTCGCCATGGTATGCTGCAAAGCTCAGTGCGTCGCCTATAAATTCGCTATGGTGCCCGCCAATCTCGACTCCGTTTCGGACAAGCGCCTGCCACACGGCAAGGGAGCGCGCCCAGCACACTTGGTGGTAAAAGTCGTTGTTTAACGAGTCTGGCGCTAGCTGGAACCCTTGGCTAAAGACCCAGTTGAGCATGTCGACCTGTTTTGCTTTTGCTGCGCGCCCTGCTATTCCCCTGAGCAAATCCGACTGTTTCGACGGGTCTGCTGATGTGTAGAATTCTGAGACGCCTTGGATGTTGCCGTTGGCGATGTCGTCCCCCACTTTGTCTGGCAACAAATTTGCGGTAGACGACATGATGAACAGAGCAGATGAGTGTACGGTAAATGAGAAGGCTTGACTCTTTTTATTTTTATTTTTTTTTGGTTGTGGAATGACGAAATGGAAGGTGATTTGAATGATTTGTCGGCGATGACGAAATTTGGAACTGACTTCGGAGTTGGTTAATCCGGCTCCTGGGCTGAGTTGTGACGGCTCTTGTGAGACGGCCAAAACATCCTCCCCGTCAGCAACCGGAGGCTTGTGCTACAAAGTGTGCTGGACCGAGCTTGGTCCTTGTTCTGAGACGAATCAGGCTGCTCACAATTATTTGCGAAGGGAGAAAGGGGGGGGGGGGATGGTTGCCACCGAGTTCGAGTCATGCTTTCACGTGTTGTTACCATGCTGATCTTTCACATGTAGAAACAGTCGGCGACATATTCCAAATGCACTACCCGGGCTCAGTATAGACGTCTCGGCTGCAATTTCCCCCTCGAAAGTTGGAGACGAAGCAACAACTACTGCCCGGAGCTTACGCCTGGGTCACACCAACTGCAACAATTTGTTTCAATTGACGTCTTGGTCCGAGCAGCCCTGCGTTGGGCACTGATCGCCGACACTGCCTCTGCCTTGCTTACTTGCGGAGGTGCCAGTGAACAACGGCGACGGGCCGTTGAAGGATTGGGAGTGCATCAAGTTTCGTGCCGTCTAGGAAAAGGTAGGACTCGTCTACGTTATCATGGCAAATTTTAGACGTCTCCGCAACTAGGATCCTCCTTTGTTTTTCGGTGATTTCGGAAGGATTGGTGGTCGCTAAACGTGGTGCATATTGCCCACGACAAATCAGCGTTTATGAGCACAAGCTGTTGGCGGAGACGTCTGCTGAAACAACGGAATCCTGGAAAGAGCAAGACAGAAGACAGGGCTATTTGATGCTGATGAATCTCGCGGAGGAGGTAAACATGCTGCTGCATGCCCAACTGCAATCCCATCGGGGAGTGTCCGAGACGGCATTCTACCATGCTGCAAATGTCCTCCAAAGCAGTCCCCAGGTGCTTTTCCGGCTCCTCACGGAGGTGGTGCTGGCCGACTAGGATGATTCCCGTGCCGTTATCCTTTGGAGTGTAAGCCGAGATCGGTAGCGGTTAAGGCAGAATTCTTTTTTTCGCCACCAAAGATACGCAATAAGTGTATCGCGACATGAATGAAGCTGCGGAATATGGCTCACTTCGTATTGAGAACGCTGTACAACGAGACCTACCAGAGTCAGCACCGTATGACCCCTTGCGCGTCGTAGCCGTGTCAGTATCTCGTAGCACGAAATAATGGCAGTCTGAGGTTTCTGAGAGAAGAGGAAGCTCTATGCCCAAGGCTAAACTATAAACATGGCCTCATTCCACGAGACTCCTCAGCTTCTGTTCTGAATCATCACCCAAACGCACTCCATCATCTATACTCTTTCAAACTACTTGCTCTGCATCCACAAGTTGGCTCCAGCCAAATATGATGTACTCTACCTCCAACCGCAAAGGCGGAGTCCTCCTCTTCCTATTTTCCCTCCTGAGCTCCTTGCTCCTCTTTTCCTCACAGTCAGGTACTGCCCTTGGAGCCCCTGTCAGCGACCTCAGCAGCCTTGAGCTCTATCCTCGCAACAAGCACATCCCAGACAAGAATGAAGTCGTGGAATTGATCAGGGATGGCAAAGACTTCCACAAGTACGCCAAGGAGGGGCATCCACACAAGGACAAGGCTGCTTTCTTCTCGGGCCAAGGCAGGCAGACGATTGCCAAAATCAGAGACTGGGCGACGGCGAAAAAGCAGGGACTCACCACAGTCCGCGACATCTGGAAGAGCGACAACTTCTACCAGCAGGGCCAGTACAAGGACATTGACGCCGAGACCTTTAGAGACTTCCAGAAGGCGTTTTCCAAGTACTATGCGCAGCAGGCAAAGGGAAAGGCCTACCTCATCTTCCCGCATGATCAGACGCCCAAAAGGGACGGCATTTTCTGGAGCGTCGAGCTCGATGAAATTATCAGCCATGGCAAGGTGGACGTGATCATCTGGCTTGATCAGAACAAGATAGGCGAAAAGGAGTATCATCAGGATAACGAAGAGAGAATCTATTGGAAGAAGGGTGAGAGGAAGCCTGACGGCGCGTAAAGCTACATATGTAGCGAGCGGCATGCGTAGAGTTTGCGGGTGCAAGGAGCTTCGGGGGGCAAAGGCCAGAGGTGGATGGAATGTGGAACTTTGACTGGATAGAGTTACCTTCTTCAAGCTGTATGTTGATCGCTATATTTTACAGGTGATAAATGAGATTATCACTTGTTTTTGCCTTTAAATACCACAAATCCTTTAAGAAAAGTGCATTGATGTTAAGTCAGGAAGTTTTTCAATATATGGATAGCTTATGAGATAGTAGTCCAGGCTATATAGGATGAGTAATTTCCCTCTTGATACATCCCCTGTAAGCCGTGAATCCGGTGACCAGGCTCCGTTAAATCTCATCATCTATCAATAGATGCATGCTTTGCCTCAAATATTCGCAGACAATGACTTCCGGGTCCACCACGAAACTAACGCCCTGCAGCACTTTATAACGCTCCGGGTCATAAGACGGAGTTCAAACAATAGGCCGTTGGTCAATCACCGCTTATAGCCAATGACGCTGTGGTGAGCTTCGGACAGGGCCATGGTATCAACTATGGAACTGGCTCCTTGGTCTTTTCAGCCCAGCCCCAGTGAATAATACATTGGACGGGGGCACATGATCCAACGATGAGTGACACCAGCTGCCTTGCTGTACTAAAAGAGGAGTACGCTACCATCAATGGGGTAGATGCATTTCTAGACTATGCGAAATTTGCCTCAAGTACAAACAAAACTCTTTGATTCCCCTACTCTCCGTTTTGTGCACTGTATGTCACCACCTTTGGCTGGGTAGAATCAGTCAACTTCATTCTGTCGTCAGCGTAAGCAAGCGCCCAATCCTTGAACGGTTCAATATCAAAGGTCCATGCCCAATTCTTCCCTTGCAGCGCCAGAATAACATTCACGGTCCAAGTCACGCAGCTCTCCTGCGGATTCGTGTTTTTAACCGGCAAGGGAATGCTGGCAAAAAACTTCTCTAGTTCAAGGTTTAATACATCCTCCGGTATATGACCGATAACGATGCGCCCAATAAGCTTGGAACTAAGCTCGGGGTCAATGTTTTCTTTAGGACGGAACCACCAGTTCATGTGAGGATTCTTCATCCTGAAAGTGGCGGGGTCAATTTCAGATGCATCCGTGGCTTCATACGCATTGCAATCTCGGCCGTGACTACTTTCCGGCATGACCATCATTCCCCAGTGGAAAGCGTCGTACCCAAAAATTCGCCGGGAATGACCTTTGGAAAGAGTATCCCGATGGTACAAGGCGACGGTAGCTAATCGTGCCATGGTGGAGTCTGGTATCAAAGTAGTATCCAACCTGGAGGGTATTTCTGTAAGTATGGCAGCGGTGGTTCTTCTGATTAAACTCACCAACGTTTTTGTAGACGATAGAGAAACAGCCGCTTGAGGGGAAGAGTTTACAATAAGGCTGGTGTAGACAGTTTGATGACGGGAAAAAAGCGAGATGAATGCCGCGGGATTTCTGGTTTTAAGTAGTTATCCCCCGAGTGTTGGTTGTGGTATATTAGAAGCCCGGCCCTTTTGCTGGTGCCAGCGGCAGGCAGCCAGCCTCGCTGGGGGCTGTCCGGCTGTGCCCAATCAAGGTGCCTCTCTTACCGCTGGCACTATCGTCATAATGACATTTCTCATGAGCCTCACAAGCGCGTCGGATCGGTCATAATCGCCTGCATGATGCAGCCCTAAGCGCCCCGGTGTGGAGATGGTCCCACGTTTGAAACCGACTCAGCCGTCGACTTGCATCGTGGGTGACAAAGGCATATGCAATTATATCCAATCATGGGATAATGGGAGCTTCCACCGGAGAGCTAAACCTGGGTAAACAAGCATGGGAGGTCACATTGGCCTATTGGGACACCACTTGTTGGCGTGCTGTTGGTTGTGTAATTTTTATGACATGGAGGGCGGCGGCCACGCTTATCTTGTTGCAGCGCATGCAAGCGTGCAAGGCTACACGGCTTGATTCTCAGGGACTCTCCCTCGTTGTTGCTCTTTATTTCTGAAAAAAAAAAAAAAAAAAGTCAAAAGCCTGAAAGTAGAGTCTTCCCTCGCATTAATGAACAGAAAGCTTAAAGGTCCACTATACTCAACTCAACTTTTCCTCGCTTCTTGTTTCTTGCCATTCAACTTCTTGTAAATTACCTAGGTTACGACAGTAGTGTCATAATTTCCTCTAGCCAAGGCAAGAGACCACAAGTCTTTTGATTTGAGACCAGCTCTTTTCCTCAACCATTCTGCGGAAGGAGTCGAACCCTTGGTATGAACGTGGGGATTGGAGAATGTGCCAGAAATCGTCCCCGGCTCCGGTAGCCTTCTCCAAAGGATTCGCTCCGCTGCAAGTTCCGTCTCATAGCCAGGCAAGATAAGACGCATATATTCCACCCAAACATCTTGACCCATAAACATATTATAGTGCACCTTTGTATATTCCCAATACTCCGGATACCATCCCGCAAAAGCCCAGTCAATGATGGCTATAATACGTCCGTTTCGCACCATGATATTCCTTGGCGCTAGATCTGCGTGGGTAAAGTACGTTGCATAGCTGCCCGTGTGCGTCTTTGCTACTTCCGGGCCAAGAAACGGCTCGACATCTTCCATGATTAAATGCCCTCGCGTAAGTGAGTGAAAGCCGTCGTGGCTTACGGGTCCAAAGAAGCGAAAGCCAATGCGGCAGTCAAACGCCGGGTTCTGGAGCGCAGACGAGACCATGCCCTGTTTTGGAGGCTGCAGCGCGCGGAGGCTCGACAAGTGGTTTTTGAGATCGTCAAAGATGGCCATCATCTGGCCTTTTGACAGATGCTCCCACGCTTCCTCCAAGGTTTCACCACAAATAAATTCCATCTCAATGTAGGTAAAGTGACCCTCGTTATGCACAGCATAGATTTTGGGCACCGGAACCGTGGTGTGCGCGGCGACGTAATTCATGGCCTCGACTTCGGTGGGATCGCATGGTCCCTTGATTACGCGATGCCAGCTGACTCTGTATGTAGAAGGGCCGAGGGGCGGGAAAAGCAGTTTGCCCAGCCAGAGTCGCCACCGAAGCGGGAACAGACTTCCAATGGATTGGCCCATGGGTGTTGGAGATTATTTGCGTTGATATTTGGATGATGAAGAACTGATGGGGATGAGAGCATGGAGCAGCTGTTGTACAAATGTAAGGGGTGTGGTCACGTGATTCGCCATCCCCCAGCCAACGCCGCCGTCATTTGGAGCCTTTATTACGGACTCGTAGGCATCTCTGTTGGTTTAAATAGATCATCGTTAATCCCTTTACAGCAAAGGGGATGTCAAATAATGCTTTCTGGGGCTGAACAGACAATATTCACTTGAGAGTGTGGACAACTGCCTCGACTAGTAAATCTGACATTCCTTAGCCAACCCTAACCCTAACTCTTATGCAAACAACAAGAGATCTCGATTATGTTAGGCCAAATTTAACAAATCACGCCAGGGCAGGCCAGATAGGCGAGCAAAAGTCGGACGAAGGGCATTCTCAGCTTGGCATGTCAAGTCCCATTACATGGCTACGCAGTAGAAATGGTTTGCCTAAATGACAGAGGCTTCTCTTGTTGTCGCGCCTTCCGACTTCCGTTTTTTCAGCACCTCGCTGGTAAGTTCACGCAGGCTACGTGTCTGCTAATTTATATATAGACTTGGCGTCCATTATCCTAAGCACGAACATTACAGAGCTACAGTTATTTCAGATGTGATTATCTAATATTTCTTGCACTACTTCAGAGGTTAAGAATACCCTCTCCTGCTATAATTCCTGCATAATGTTGTGCGACCTATTTGTCCGTAGCAGCTATAGCAGCAGATGGATTGTTCTTAAGCCGGGGAAGGAGGCCTTGAATTTCGACTAGACAAAACTGTAGTTCTTCTGGGAGCTTGGCAGCAAATTCGGCTGCATCCGACATTTGTCGCCTGTCCGCCCTTGGCCTCGTTTCGTATAATGTATAGATGGCCTGAACTGATATCGTTGGTTGTCAAGATGGCACCGCGACCCTCTTTGAACGCTGCGCCATCAAGCACATTTAGCAAGCCCGACAAGGCTATACGCCCCCGGGTGGAAGTAGCTGATGCGCGGTTGGCTTCTGTTGTGACAAGCGGTATCTTGTGACAAGGGCTCAATAGAGGGCTTGGAGCAATTTAGCCCAATTCAACTAATAACAGTCTTTGGTATCAAAGGTCCTTGGTTTTCCTCAAGGCCTTGAGGGACCGAAGACGTCTATTTATACAAGAAGTCGGTGAGGACCTTCTGCCCTAATCCCGTGACCGTAGCCCTTATGTAACAGGGCAATTTCCGTCTAACATATCTCGTGACGGAGGGACATTGGCGTGAAGGTCAGTCCCGGACACGGATGTGACCAGCATATTCGACGTCTTTGAGAAGAACAGAACATTGTTCCAGGAGACTAGCAAAGAGGAACGCCAGATCGTCCTCAGTGGTACTGGTATTATCAAGATTAATAATGTAGATACGCATTCCGAAGAAGCCAGCCATGGCAAGGTTCAGAGACCTTTTACCGGTTCCTGATGGCCCATGGAAGAGATAGCTGCGCCTGTAGGGAATTCCCCGATTAGAATACCATTGCTTCTTGAACAGTTCAAGATACTCGGTAGCGTCGCAGATAATTTTCTTCTTGACTTGCTCATCGAGAATGATGGAGGGAAAAGGTCAATTCGGCCGGGACATGCACCGCTGCCATGACGGATCTTTGCCCAACACACTGCCCCCAACGGCACTGGGCTAAAATGGAATTTTTGGCTTCGGTCTTGGATATTTACAGCATCCTCTGCCGTGTTCGAGTCACCAAGTCCGTCTCTGTCGTCGGCATGGTCCCTCCAGAGGTAGCTAGCTATTCCGTGAAGAAATATCTGCGTTTACGAAGAGCTGCCGCGATTCCCGGTGAGAATACTGGAGAGAAATCTATAGTGGTTGCTGACGAGGAGTTGACGACTATCAGGGGTCACGGTGACAAGGGAGGTTGGGGAAACTAGCATAAATGGCGACAACGAGTAAAACCCTCGTGAAACATAGTCTTGTTTATATCCGTGACATGGCAATTTAATACTAGTTGTTATAGAAATGGCTAGTTCTTGCCTTGATGCCATGCCCGGGAGTCATGCCATGGATGCGATTCTACTAAGGGACTTGTCTAGTTGGTTCAATGTTACTTTAAAACACAGAATGTTGCGCACTTTCAGACTAGAAGCAGCGTCTTTTCACCCTGTTTGAGACCTGAGATGACAATCCGTCAAAGAGTGAGCCGAGCCCGCTGTGGCCTGGCACCTTGTCATGTCAGCTAACAGCTCATTGGCTACAGCCGCTGATACACACAGCTTCCAATACACCTACTCGATGCAGTGTAACTTTCAAGTACTCCGTATTGCCATGTTATTGGCTTCTGATGATGTGTGAGCAGCACAATTGACGCCCAAAGACGGCAGGCATAATCGCTGGGCACTCATGAAGTCCGGCGCACATGCCTTGCCAAGTTGGATCTTTTGGGGGCGGCTCCTTCCATGTCTCTTTTTCTCTGCCTTGTCCCTTTGTGGCTTCCCCTCCCCTCACTTAATCATACTTTCTCTCGATTATTTTGCTTCATCCCCAAGACGGCAAAGAAGATGGCGTCTTCCCATGAGAATAAAACTGTTCTTTTCCGGGCCAACCCCGCCACTCGGGACGCGAATGCTGACCTCGATATCATTGCCATCCACGGCTTGGACACGCAGTCACCCGGGACATGGGCCTACTCCAAAAGTCCGGGCGAAGACGTCAACTGGCTGCTTGACGAGAACATGCTCGCAGCAAGGGTCAAAGGAGCTCGAATTTTCACCTGCAACTGGCCCGCCGAGCTGGTCCAAAAACCCGACACCATTGCAACGACACTCGAGGAGTCGGCGCGGCATCTGCTCAACTCGCTCACCCTCCACGTGGCAGAAGGCCGCAGGGAAACACCGAGGAGACCAAGACGGCCCATTCTTTTCATCGCCTCGTGTCTTGGAGGCATCATCTTAATCAAAGCTCTGGCAAGAGATCCGAAGCTGGGTAGTGATGAGCGGGACCTCACGGCTCTCCGGAAAACGACCCGGGGCATTGTTTTTCTGGCCACGCCGTTCCGTGGCACGTCGTTTAAAGAAATTCCCGAGTTCGTCTTGCCTCTCTGGGCATGGCTCGGTGGCCGCTCGGTATCGGCTTTGATCGATTGCACGAGGGAGCCGCCACCCCATCTCGACGAGCTCGTCCGTGACTTTGTAGAGCTACAACGTAAACACGACATACACGCCGAATACTTCTGGGAGGGAATGAAGACTAATCTGCTACGAAAAGTTTGGCTGTGCTGGGTCTTTTCCCCTTTCCTACACATAGTCTGGATAGTGGTATTACTTGCTGCTGTGTTACTATTACATAATACTTCACAAGCTCATCATTTCACGCCCTGGCTGTTGGTCGTCTACTCCCAATGGTTATCAGGCGCTAGAGCTTTTCAGCCAAAAGAGGTAAATGTCCTTCTGAGAGTAATGCCTGGATTGGATCTCTCTACGCACCCCCTCGCGAATCTTCCTTTATCATGTAGCTTACATGTGCTAGCTGGTGCATGAAGATTCGGCCACTTTGATAGGAGGGAGAAAACAGCGTCTTGATCGACCCCACGTCCTAATGAACAAGTTCGGTGGCCCCAAGTGTCAAGCTTACTCGACCGTCGCGAAAACTATTGAAGAAATGGCTGTAAAGATCCGAGAGGGGAGCCTACTCGCCAGAGCGGATCGCATGATTAAAGAAAGATATTTTAACAGTGGCAAGCTCAAGATTAAAAGATTGTCGGGCGATTCTCTTGCCATGAGATCATGCTACATTAACCTCGCTATTGTCGAAAAGGCTGGCGACGGTAAGAGTCATGAGGCAGATGACTCGGTGTCTTTTTCGCTCTTGGATCGACAAAAAGTTGAGATACCCGAAGAGATACGTCGGGTCGATTTATCAAAGATATTCGACGCTCAGCAAAATAAAGGGGGGAAGCAACCAAGACGTATCCTGATTCGGGGACGCGCGGGAGTCGGCAAGACCACGTTATGCAAGAAAATAGTCCACGATTTCTATACACCAGAAACTGAGCTACATTGCTCATGGACGAGATTGTTCGATCGCCTTCTTTGGATACCCTTACGCAATCTTAAATTAGGCAACACACGGGACACCCCAGGATACAACCTCGAGAAGCTCCTTTTGCATGAGTTCTTCTCGCGGCCAACCAGCGAACCCGAATTCGCTAGAGAACTATCGGAATCAATGACAGCAGTCGCCAATAGGACCCTATTTCTCCTTGATGGTCTTGACGAGATTTTACACGACTTGAGTTCCAGTGGCGACATGTATGCTTTTGTCCAGGAGTTGTTGAGTCAACCAAACGTCATCATCACATCCCGGCCGTCTGCAGCAGGTCTTTCCAGGGGCGTGAGCCCTCCGGACCTCGAGCTGGAAACTGTTGGCTTCTATCCAGATCAGGTTGATGAATATGTCAGAATGGCCTTCACCGACACGCACAAAGTCGAGCAAGTGCGCAACTTTCTCAAACAACATTGGCTTATTCAGGGTCTAGTGCGAATTCCGATTCAGCTAGATGCCCTCTGTTATACTTGGAATGACAGACTAGAAACGGTGCCAGACACCATGACTTCCATGTACGAGTTGATCGAGCTCAAGCTGTGGAAGAAAGATGTAGTCCATCGACTAGGATTGAGACGTGAAGATAATGAGCCTCTTAGCGAAGACGATCTTCAGAGCGTCGGGCGGGAATATGTTGAAAAGCGTGTTCCCCAAGAGATGAGCTTGTTGGAGGGCCTTGCGTTCAGTGGACTAATCAACAACATTATTGATTTCCAAGAGACACATGTGAAGACGATAGCTGGCAAATTTTGCGCCGGGTTTCTTTACAGCAAGATTTGTCGAGATGTTTCCTTTTTGCGATCGTCAGACTCGTCCGTAGCGACAGCGGACCAAAGACATCACTTCATACACCTCACCTTCCAGGAATATTTCGCGGCGCGGTATTTTGTCAAGCAGTGGAAATCGAAGCGTAATTTGGTCACTATTCGGTTTAAAAACGAAGCGAGCTCCAACACTGTCGATGTGAGCGTTGAGGACTTTGTGCGCGACGAAAAGTATAATGCACGCTGCGATATCTTCTGGCGCTTCGTCGCCGGCTTGCTCGGTGGAAATGATGACCAAATCTGTGACTTCTTCTGCATGGTCCAAAACGAGCCGCGCGACCTCCTTGGCCCGGTCCATCAACGGCTAGTAATACATTGTCTCAGCGAGATGTCATTGCCAAAGGTGCCCAAGTTCCAGAAGTTTTACCAGCATCTCGAGTACGAAGCGAAACAATGGCTATTATTGGAACTTGGAGGGAGCCGTCGCTCGCGACTAGCAGCTGAGATGGAATTTCCAGGCAAGGTTTTAGCGGAAGCTTTGGAGGGCTTTCCAGAGATGGAACCTCAGCTGTATGATTCATTACTTGCCAGACCGGTGCTTCCCTTGGCAGTGATGGACCACATAGCTTCTTGTCTGGGAGATGGTGAAAAAGATGGGAGAAGTGCTCTTCGGCACATTCAACATGCTCGCGGAAGCTTGTCGGAGAAGGTGATTCGCGCGGTGGTAAACTTGCTAAAGGATGATGACGAGAAGGTCCGCCATGACGCCAGCAAAATCTTGTCGAAACAATCAGCACTGCCGCAAGATGTGTTTCAAGCCATGGTGAGGCTGGCAACAGGCCCTGATAAAGATCTTCGTCCATATGTCCTGTGGGCCCTGCGGGAGGAAACCACGTTGCCACAAGACGTGTTTCAAAGCTTGGTGGACGTGCTGAAGCACGGCTCCAGCTATGAAGTGGCTGAAAAATTGTATATGGATGTGGGTGCGCAATCAGCACATCTGCCGCAAGATGCATGTGTGGTTAAAGCCCTAGCGAGCCTGCTGAAGGGCCCTGTCAATGAAGTTCGCGACCGAGCTGTTGAGGCCTTGGCGATATGGGGTATACATGTAACCGCGCTGCCGCAATACGTGGTTCAAGCGCTGGTAAACCTGCTGAAGGACCCTAGTGCTGTCAATCAAGTTCGCAGGGACGCTGTTCGGGTCTTGAAGAGGCAAACCGCGCTGCCGCAATACGTGGTTCAAGCCCTGGTAGACCTGCTTCACGACTCTGATAATCATGTTCGCAGGTACGCTGTTCAGGCCTTGAAGAGGCAAACCGCGCTGCCACAATACGTGGTTCAAGCCCTGGTAGACCTGCTTCACGACTCTGATAATCATGTTTGTTTACATGCCGTCTCTGCCTTGTATAAGCAATCATGTCTCTCGCAAGATGTGCTTGAAGTATTGATGAAGATGCTACAGAGCCCTGACGACAGAGTGCTTTTATCCAGCGCAGAAGTGCAAGACACGGAAGAGTCGCGTAAAGACCTGCTGAAAGAGGTGGCAGGAGTCTTGCTCTCGTCGGACGACGTCTTTTTTGAACAAATGGTCCATCTGCTCAAAAACGGTCCCATAATTACCCAGCGATGCATTGCCGGTTCCTTGTCCCACCCGGGCGTGTCAACAACGAAGGTGATTCAGATGATGGCGCATGCGAAGGACCATCCTGATGCACTCGTGCGGATGGAAGCGGCGCGGGCCATGAACCGTCGAAGGCTGTATGAGGACGCGCTGCCGGAGGAATTGGCTCTGGCGCTTGAATATCTGCTCAAAGACTCGGACAAATCGGTACGTATGACTGCATTACTTGTCTTGAGACATGAGCCCGGTCCGTGGCGTCTCGGTCTGCAGGAGGAGCTTGCCAAGGTGGCTGTCGACTTGCTCACGAATTCTGAAGAAGACGTACGAAAGCGTGCCATTTCTTGCAGTAGCCAACTAGTAGGGCTGTCTGAAGAGGTGGTTCAGGCCGTGGCAAATCTGCTAGAGGATCCCGACACAGACATACGGCAGGAGGCTATTCAGTCTCTCGACTTTAACAAAGTAACCAGAACGTTACCGACAACCGTCTTCCAAAGGATGACATGCTTACTAGAGGACCACGACCAACGCACCAGACAGTGTGCATTCAACTCATTGACTTCTCACAAAGCCCTTCCAAAGGAGGTGCTTCAGGCACTTGCATTAACCTTGCACAATCCTACACGCGAAAGACGAGTCCAGGCGGCAATCATTCTGAGTGTCCAAGTAGAGCTACCACTTGATGTACTGCAGGCAATGGCCAATCTGCTCAAGTTTCCAGAGGACACTCAGAGTGATAATGTCGCCATGACAGCCTTCGATCATCTTGCAGCTTTGCCGGACCAAAGTTTCTGCTCAAAACTTGCCGAGATGGACGGCCAATGCTTCACCAGACTATATCGAAAGTGGCTACGACGAGCCTTTTCGGATCACAGGTTTATCTACGAGAAAAACAAAGTCTACCACATTCACCTACCCCGTGGATACCAAGAAATTCCAGTGCCTCAGTTTCAGCGTGCTGTCCAGGCAGCCCAAAAAGCCCTGAATATTCCTGAGATTAAACCATTATCAATCAAAGATTCGTATCAGCAGCTCACATGCCAAGTTGAGCAGGACGAGGCTGCACACATGGCCGACGCAAACATCCGTGAGCCGCCGTCTGCACCGCAAAGTGAGAAACAACCTTGAATTGGATAAACTAGCCAAGGAGACCTACAAAGCACCAGGATCTTAGGCTGCTAAACTTGACGCTTCTGTCTCTTGGAATATAGCTCCTGTATAACTTCCGAGGGACAAAGAAGCTTTCTATTCTGTCCCACTTTGGGCCAACAATTGAACATCTCGATAAGATTTAGGATAAACTTGCCAGTAAGCAAGACTGATAGCATTACGAAAGAACCTGAGGAAGACGTATAATGAGAAAATTAGTACCAGACTGTATCACCATAATGTACGTGGTAATTTATTGTTCTAGTTTAGGTTGGAAAATGTATCGATGTACCATCTATCGTTGGCGTACCTCATTCAGCTAAAGACGAGACCTGGAGATGTGGTCTTGACTCAGTAGATTCAGATTAAACGTTGGACTTGTTTCTCCTGCCAGTTTTTAGTCATCTTGGGCTTCAATACGGCACACTATTTGGTGTTGAACGTGCTCTTGTAGTGTCTCCCAGCACCCTAGTCGAATCACAAAGAGTTCAAGGTACTATTCTATTTTACAAGCGGTCACAAGAGCCATTGGCAGATGTAACGCTTTTTCACATTTGCAGTGCCAGCTCAGTAGCTCCAATGCCCATTTTTGAAACATTAAAGGCGAGATCGACTACACCAATCCAGCCCAATGGATGCGGGCGCACCGTTTTTTATCATCAGCAACTCACGTAAAGCGTGACAATGCCAGGTGTGCAGCATACTGTCACGGTGCAGATGCATAAATTGTCAGCAGCACGAAAATATACAAATAGTGTTGAATATGTCAAAAAGATGCGTATATATAGTATAAAACCGAATGTTGAGGGAGTCTAGTTGACGTAATGCTATCTGGGCGGACAAAGGCGCAACCAAGGTCAAGACAAAATAACTCAATACATCAGACTACTACCAAGTTTCTTTCCCCTAAATGTCCTCTAATCTGAGTTACGGCTCACAACTCCCTAGTCTCCATCTGTTCTACTTGCCAATATTCGTGTCGGCATCAAGTCCAGGGATATTGGTACCTACAACGTACGCCTTCACCTCTGCATCCTCAGGCTTCAGAGCAGCCAGCTCTTCCTGCGTAAGGTTAGCGACCACGCCATCCCGCCTCGTCTCGCCCGGGAAACTCTTCCTCGAAAAGTCCAGCATGATCTGTATCTGGTAGGGCTTTTTGGAATCATCCATGATGGGAACCGAAGGCGTGTGAGGCCTGGCCTGCGAGTACACGGTCCTGACGCCCTCGGGGGGGAACTGAATGCCGACAATCGTCTCGCCTCCAGGCGGGCAAGAAGACACGGGCTTGTCATGCTCGTCCCGCAGCTCAAAGTACTTTTGTCCCAGGGCATCCCACGTCGCCGACTGGCCGGCGAGGCCGGCGAGAGCCACTCTAGACGTCGTGTTCAGCTCGTGATATAGACCCGTCTCCTTGTGCTTCCACCGCAGGCACGCCGGGAGACACGTAAAGTCAACAGCCGGCACCTTGAAGAAGTTTCCGGGAATGGACGCCGAGAAGCTCCAGGTCTGGACTTGGCAGAGGTGGCCTTGGGGGCATGTGAGTCTCTTCTTTTCCGTAAACGTGGTCGTCTTGGTCTCGGTGTTGTCCTTGCCGACCTTGTAGCCGAGCTTGGCGCCCACCTTTGGACCTGCACCGGCGACTTGGAAGGACCATTCGAGGGAGAATTCGCCATTGTGCTCCCATTTGAATGTGCTGGTGTCGGTTGTTGCTGTGGATGACTCGAACCAGATATCGCCACCGAGGGGTTGGGAGTCTGCGTGGGGGTAAAAGTCGACGTCGACTTCGCTGGTTATATTTGAAAAGAAGACGTCGTGCAGCTGAAACATTTCTTCGACGGTGCACCCGCAGACAGGCTTGACGGCGGCGCCTACAAGCGGTTCGTAGAAGCCTGCTTGGGATGCCCACATTCTTGGAGGGACTAGAGGTTTGACGATGGAGGTGTAGTGCTTGACTAGTTCTGGCTGGATCTGTATAATTTGTTTCTTTAAGAGACTCATTTCGGAGCCGAGAGCGCCGGCAACAAAAAGGAATATGGGAAACATTGTGAAAGTGGTTTTGTTTAGATAGCAAGGCAAGATTTAATCTTCTCAAAGTCTTTGATAGATTGTTAGAGAGTTGCCGAGTTGTAAAGACGAACAAGTTTATATAAAAGCTACAGTGACTACACGGCTGCCGCGGAGAACTGAGTTCCGTCTTGGCTCCGTGTCGACCGGTTATTCGGGAAATGAGACGAGTTATGCAATACATTACGTACCCTGCCATCCGGTGAGAAACCGTCAGGCTATTCCGTTGTAGATGTTATTACTTTCGCGATAATAGGAAGGTCTTTGGATGATCTTCGGGAACGGAAAGTACGCATAAAGAACTCAGGAGATGCAAATTTATTGGGCCGGGATATTTATGCATACTCGTGAGTTTTGGAATTATTGACCACTAGTGCCGTAATAAAAGGGCTATAGACAAGGGTTATTCTTAGTATATTACAAGAACCTATATGAAAATGAATATCAAGGCTTGCTAGTCATATTAGTACCAGACATCGACATAGAACAGATCCACGCCCCCGCTCCCGCTCGTCCGGTAAGTATTGGCAGGGTTTAATGTCGGGGCAGTGTTGTTAAATTGCAAACACCAGGATAACTCTAAATGCAATCGTCCCAGACTGGTGAAGGTTTGCTCGTGTTTGAGAGACATGACCAGGTTCAAGTGTAACACAGCCGCGTTTCCCCCGCACTTCCCCCGCGTATTTCAAATACCTCAGCCCACGAACGCGTACGGAAGTCACCGACGCTGCCAAGGAGGCCTCTTGATGGCGAGGCAAATGCCGGAACTGCGCCAGAGTCATACGACTTGGCGTGTAATTATTTGTATTTCGTTGCAAGTTCAGGGGCGCGGCATTATGCAAAACACTAGAGGCCAACGGTCAAGCTGCGGCTATAGCAGCACGTGGGCGATACATCGCACATTATTCCTGAATAGTCCACACACTGTGGATAAAATTTCCACATTTCCGAGGAGTTGAATCATGCGATACGTGACGTACCGGTGAATAGTCTTGGAAGCCTGTGTCCGAGTTGGCGAGTTGTCGCCGGCGGGTACAGCACATGGGAACGATGCCGCCGCTCGACAACATATAAAGACGGCAGTGCAAGCACGAAACTACTCAATCCACCCACAAGTCTTGGAAATTATCGTGGCAACTATCCCTTCTAACTCATCTACCATACAAGCCTCTTACAACTATGCGTCTCATCGCCACCTTCATGCTTTCTGCCCAGCTGGCCTTGGGCCTGAATTCCTTCACGGTCGATTCTGACTGTGATAGTCTTTTGGCGCAAGCTTTGGATGGCGGACTTCCTCAGCCTGTACACTGGGCAAAGGCAGTAAGTACTCTGAAGGAAGACTTCTAGGCAAAGACAGGCTCTAACAAGGCATTAAATAGGGTTGCCAACAAGTAAGCATGGATTTGAATTAATAACCTTCCGTATCATTTTGCTGACCAGTTTTAAAGGCCCTTGTTTGTAAAAGCGATCCCACCAAAGACTGCTGCATTTCGAGGATCAAGAATGGCCTTCCTCTGCCTCTTAGGGTACGTGTGCTTCCATAAGACAGTTACGTTACACTCTAACATGTTCGTAGTATGACGACGCCGTCCCGTACTATGAAAAGTGCGCGGGTGTTAGCGTCCCTAAACCACGCAAGGAGGACGACATTGTCCTCCCAAGCCTTTCTTGCGAGCTGATCCGCGACTTCCGCTGTGGATTGGGATTCGCTTCCGAGTTTTGCGACATTGTATACGCGGAACTGGATGTAAGTTCAGATCACATGTCCCATGTTTCTCACAGAGTCTGACTCGAATATTTTTTGCATTAGGGGTGCAAGAAGGTAAGCACTTTCATGGAGAATATATAAAGCATACTAGGAGATTTACTTATAAAACACCGAATGTAGCGTGAGCAGTGTTCGAAACAAACTGAAAAGGATTGCTGTGGCGCTTACCCAGCAAAGGTAATTCTGACATGATTGTTAAGTGCTTGGATGACTATTCACTAACGTTTGGCAGAACCCAGAGGCAGTCCGACGCTACTACAGCAAATGTGTGGGCACATGCAATGTAGTAACAGAAAAGGTTGTAGAACAAGAAGACTGCCTTGCGGTCGGCGAGTAATGTATAACCTGTGCTAGATCAAGGCAAGACGTTCGCGGGCATGGCGAGCCTCGATAGGCAGACACGCGCACTATCTCACTAGCTTAGATTTGTTAGGCCTTGTCCAGATGACAATGAAGAGGTTTCAGGGGCATACATAGGGTTTCTATTTATATATTACATTCATTTGAATGCAAAATTCTTCGTAATGCGTCAAGACTATTCGTTTGTGTGTAGAATGCAAGCAAACTAGTACTGAGACTAATTACGAAGAGACACATGAGGGTTCTGAAACATGCTACTGTACAGCAATATAAAAGCAGGTAGTTATTCAAGGGGTAATTATGTATTGCAAACTTAATACGTAGAGCTATTTCAACTCCAAAGGTTAGGGTTTTAAGCTGGCGATAGCTATTATTATTATAGTTACACGCTTGCTAGTCAATACAGGCCAGATTATTTTCTACATTATACTTGCGAATACCAGCCTGATATACTCTATACTTAACGAAAGACAAGGCCCAACTGCAGACTTGATATTGTGACCAACCCCATAGTAATTGCGCCAGATATAACCCGAGGATTTCAGAGTGGATATGAAGAATCATGTTACATTGGCGATCCATTGCGGGGGAGGGCAAGCACAAGGACATGAAATAGTTGTATTATTCTCTCTCAACCCCTTCTCGATCCAAGATGCCGTGGATGTTGCACTAATTTAGGTCAGCAATGTTCTCACAAAACACGAATGTTGTATTCTCTCCGAGGTTCTTTCTCTATAGCGGTGAGTCATTTTCAGCCCTAGATGAGATAGTACTGCGAACCGGCCTGAGAAAACATTAATTGCATTTACTAGATTCTTATCTGGTAGGATGTATGCCACGCGGCAGCGATAACACGCTCTGGCGTGATGAGAAACTAGCCTGGCTCGCATATGATGCTTTCTAAAACGACACGTAATGTTGCCAAAGTCTTGTAGCAGCGCGAAATAATTCACCGCTCTTCTCTCTCCATTACAATCTGCGGGTAATACAACGGGGCCATTCCTGCAAAACTTGTTGACAAGGTTATGCTCAATGCATTATAGGGGGCTTTCTGCATGTCGTTGGCGGTATTGCAAGGGTATAACTCCATAGAGGTACAGCTGCCGTAATAAAGAATTGGAGGCATGATGAGAGAAGTATCCGCTAAATTGGGTCTCGCTTCGGCGAGATGGTATGCTTCAAGGCCATCAAGGTCTCTACCCCCGTTGAATAGTCTAGTTGGTAGATACAATCACGATGGTATTCTCGAGCGCGAACGGTTATGTCTTGCACACTACAGCCCAAGAGCAATTCTACCGTTTGCAAGTAAGCCAAGAAGTTTGACGTACCCTATAAAATCGGTCGCTGTAAATTCGCCGCCCGTTTTTGACCACCTAGACGCACGACCAAGGCAATCCGTCCTATTCTTGATCATCTACCTCGACTAAATATCGCGCTATGGCTGTGTTTGTATGTAAAGCGAGCCATTATTTTAGGTTTCAGACATCAAATCACGCACGATTCATTGGTTGGTAACGTATCACGTCTCTCCAGCACATGTATGAGAATACCGACGGCCGAGAAGGGCCGAAAAGCCTGACCAGTTTGGAGGATAAAACTCACAGATGTAGGCTTCGGCTCTTCCTCATTAAAGTCATCGTATCTAGAGAATCTTTGATACCTTGCCCTGAGCGGGGAGCATGTCTGGTTTCGAGATCCTAAGCAGCTATAATGTTGCTATATTCTTCGGATCTTACGCTGTGTAGAGATAATAGTTACCCTGTATATATAAACAGATTTATGATAATCACGGTTCTCTTCTTGGCACTGCCCTGATTAGTTTACCAACTCATTAGAATGTATCCAGTCATGATGGGCTGTATATTTAGGATCTCGTAAGTACTTTGGAAGATTGAAGTTTAGATTTGCATATTTTTTAACTGCCACGCTTTTGTACCCGAGGGACGATATAGAGGGTCAAGTGCCAATAGAAGCAAAATATGTTACACCAACAGCTAAACCATCTGTCTATGTTAGATATATTTTCGAATATTACCTTATATTTCGTGCGAGATTACGACTTCTAAACAACGTAAGGCGTAGTTCTGGTACTCATAGCGAACTTACTTTGTACCCCGTTTTATTCCCAGTCACTATATTTCACTATAGCTTGAGCACACCGTCTTCCAGTATCGGGCTGATATTTGTTGTAATCGGCTACTCCAATCATTCACATTATTCAGATCCTGCATTCAGCTCATTCATCAATCATGTGGATATTGCAAAACAGGCTCAAGGCTGTCAGGGAAAAGAGCGCGCTCTAATTAGACAGCAACTATATCCCTTTATATTCCGTTGACAAAGTCTATGACGAAGGCTATCTTAGTATAAATCTGTCCAGATACGACGAGAAGAGCCTCAGTTACAGATCCTTGCCCGGGACTCGTAAATATGCTCAGTGGTGCAGCTCCCCAGCCTCTATAGATTAGCTAGCCACGACTACTAGCTCTTTTTATATCTCAATCCGAGGCCCTTGACAGGTTGATTTGGGCTCATTTAAATGCCATAACCAATTATACACTTGGATAGTCAAGTAAAGTAAGTGATCAGGTCTGATAGTGTCTACGGGTGCCATTATCTCGCTGCCACCAATTTAATCATCCAGTAATAAATCAACGCATACTTGTATATTATACGCTACTTTTTAATAGTTTTCTTAATATTTCATCTTAGGAAAAAGTCTTGAAAGCCTAATCAAGTGGGATGGTTAGCGGACACTTGGTGTAAGATGAAGACGCACTACACATCCCAACGTCTTCTTCGGAGCAGCTCAGACCTTACAAAAACACTCTTTGGCCAAGAACAGGACACCTGAAGCGCGGCATTACAAGAAAACTCTCTGAGAATAGTCCGGTTAAAAAGTTACATTATAGCAAGCATGACATGGCCAGAGCGGACCATCCCTGTAGTTCTAAATTGCCGGTTACGACGCTGCATTTGCCGGCTTTCATGGCTGACCCCAATGACGATGAGACTCATTTTCCGCTCAAATACTACCGCGAAACCTGCTCTCAGAGGATGGGCCTCACCTGAGTCTCGTCGTGGCATCGTTCGATGATGCGACTTCAGTCCCTTCACGGTAGCCGCACCTGCCATGCGACGCGGCAGGCTTCGGCGAGTTATTCCAAGCCTGGTCCTTGAATTTTGTAGCCAGCACCATGAGGGGTCTGATTCCGTGCGACAAGGACATGGAGTCCAGAAGCAAAGGCGACATTCTTACCGCATTGCGGGCGAATATGACTGCTGCCGACCTGCCAAACGGGTCTAACAGACTCCTTCATCTAGCCATTGCTCTTGGTTAGAGTAGAAATGGCCAGACTGCTTCTCCCCAACAGGCCATCCATCGCCAACGCGGTTACATGTAGACTTGGCAGCGTCCTACGTCCTGCCCAGACCATCATCGCCAACCGCTCAGCCATGTGGCAATGCAGGCTCGGCAGTTTTCTACAGAGTTTCGTTCGAGCGAGCTGATTAAAGCGTACCAGGCTCTACAGTGTGGAGAAAGTCACCAGATTGGATGTTACCCTTATTTGGAAATGCGACGATGCGTCTAGTCGCCTGCTTAAACTGGTCAAGAGCCCACTCGTTCCGTCTTGACCCTTTCGCGGCTCGTAATACACCTGCCACTTTATACAATTGTAACGGAGCCTGGCCATCCTAACCCTCAATCATGGAAATTTGGTCTATTATCGACACCCGTCTATATACCTACGTCATGTGGGAATATCGCGCAGCGAGTTGTTGGGAAGCACATTGCAGAATGGCAACAGGGTAGGTTGCCTGACCACCGGCTGTGTCAAAAACAACCACAATGACGACCTGCCGCCTAAACTTGAAACTTTTACAAGTCCCTCCAAAAAAAGGGGCATATTCTAGACTCGATTAAGCCCTATCCGGCAGAGAGCTGTACAAGACGTAAAAGAAATTGATATTCAAGCACAACCAGCAGAGGCACCACGCAGCTCACCCCATACAACCCCGGGCAACACAACAGCCGGGAATATAGAACCCTTGCCCTTGGACGTTGCAGGGAGTAGTACACATCGTCGTCTCAATCATTTCCCCGTGGTCCATGTGCGCTGGCGGTAGTAATCCCAGAAGCCCGGTTTGCTCGGGACTGGCCGCATGGGTGTTCCCTGCAAAAGTACCCGCCTCCGCCTCGCTCAAGAGTCTTGACAACGCCTCCTTGGCAAAGGTGGCATGATGGTGCCCATCTACCAAGGTGCTAACGTAGAAACAAGCAGGTAGACTAGTCGTGTCGTCGCAGATTGCGCCGCCGAGCCATCACGTCCCCGGTCGACCGACTCGGACGGGAATGGGAGACCATACGGCCCGCTGATGCCATTTTCTCGGAGCAACGGCAGGTGTCTAAGTCCGGGGGCTCAATTTCCGTAAAGCGCCCTGAATCGAGGCAGATTGGATATAGAGCATCATCTTATGATGTCGGCCGCATTTGAAACAATCTACTATACGAGAGCGGATCTCCGGGCGATGAGGCCTCCACTGGAAATGCCATCAGGACGTGTATGTCTTGTATGATACGAGCCGAAGCGTGCATGGATGCTTGGCATGAACCTGCCGCCCTGTACGAACTAAGTACAGATCCGTTCGGCAGTTTTCAAAGAACCAATGCCACGGTTTGACAGGTGTACAAGACGTGCCGAATTACTCGAACCGAGGCGACTGTTGCATATACACGACGAGATGCAGCGTCCTTGGGCATCACGCCTTCGAACTCCAAACTTGACATTTATCAACATGCTCACAGCTTCTAAACGAATCCAACCACTGAGATACTGAAGTAGCATCACAGTTACACATCTCAACTGAGCTGTCCCGTGCTATTTGACAAGGGTTTGGAGGAAACCCCAAGACGTTCATGGCCTCGCAGATTGCGTAAGCACATCGGCAGATGCGCAGAGGCCACATGAATGGTTCTGGAAGACTTGGTTGTTTGGGCGCTTTTCTCGGCTACGGCAGTTGCCAAGACTCCATGGGCGTGTAAAGATACATCGGCTAAACGGCTACCCCTGCATTGGCTGTTCGTCTCGTCACAAAGAGTCGTTCGAGGCCGCGGCATCTTCCCTGCAAAGTATGTGGTTCAAGCAGAGATATGTACACTGAGGGGCATCACGTTCTGTATCTTTCCTGTGCCAAGCCTACAAATCGGGCAAGTCGACGAGTGATGTGACTGCCGTACTTGGGTAGATTGGAATCCCCCCTGTCGGCGCAATGCAAACAGTTCATGCGCCTGCAGCTTGCGTTCGTACGAGGAAGCTTGACAGCACATGGCTGTCACTGACTTGAGCAGAATTCATGAACCCTGTGGATACAGGGTTAATAATACAAATGGCGCTCTTTGATCTGGTCAAGCATATCATCCTAGCTCACAAATCTGTCTTTATTCACATGATCGCGGTGGTTACGGCTCTGTATACGGAGTAGAAATTAGCAAGAGGAGTCATCCAGTAAAATGCAGACGGAGCGTCTGATTTTCCCCAGCGAAACCAAAAAGTCTTGCAGGGCGTCGATTTAGTCTAGAGAAGGTACATTGCATAACGCTCCGTAATGGCAAAGTGGCGAGGTGGAGGAAAGGGCCATTCAAGCACAAAGTAGGATAGCAAGTAGGGACCGATTGCCTCTGGATTTGAATAAAACATCTGTCCTGTATGTGCGTGCTAGGTTGAGACCAGGCAGATAGGTACATACGCGATAGTTGATCTCGCATCATGTTTAACAGCAATCCAAACATCGCTCCTTGGCGTTCAATTTTTGCATTAATGACCATGCAACGAGTGACATTCGGTCCTCCTCGGATACCTTTCAGTGGAGTGGTTGATCGCATGATAGCCGACGGAATCTTGTCAAGATTGGAAGTTCGATACGTTGCCAGACAGCGCCTCTACCACGGTAGCCTTTTTGTACCCAAACAGACAGTTTGGGAGAGATTGATTTTGCAGCAGCGGACGGGTCATGATTGCCCTCGTCTTCGCCACACGGTTTGATGCGTAGAATGTCCAGCGCAGGCGTCTTATTCACCGAGATCATGCCGCGTTAAATTTGAGCATCATCAGCATGAAATCATGCTCGTTGGTGCAATGTGGGTGCTGCGCCATTCTGTGCTTAAACGCACGTTTCAAGCATCTTATCCAAAACTCCTTTCAGAGAGTCGTTTTCCAGAGCCGCAGCAACCCTCTCCTTGTCGGCAAGCTGTTTGTTCACCTGGTCATCTTGGCTGTGGGTATTTTCTCTGCAAAGGACGTCGACGCGGTAGTTTGGTGGCAAGCACTGTTCCAGTCGAACCCTGACGCCAAGCCCCAAGACTGTGGCGAGCGAACAATGCGTGACAGTAGGGGTAATTTCAACCGTCACTTGGACGATGGTGTTGGCATCGGGTACGCCAAGGGCTGGAGAAGGAGTGATGTGGATGTCGTCTATGTTGACGATGGAGAGCTGCCCTAGTGAAACGGGGTGCTCAGGATCCGAAATGGTGGCAATCAAGTCTATAAGTTTCAGTTGCAAAACATCATGTTAGTGACTTGCAGGCTAGTACAGAATGGGCAATCATAAGCGCAGCAAACTGATGGTAAAACGGCAGCGCATTTCCTTTGCCTATGGCAGAAGACAAAACAAAGACGACACATCCATGTTCAATTGCCGCGCCTAATGCCGAGACGGCAACAAGATTTGCGGGCAACATCCACCCAGGGTTGACCATATGGGGCATTTTCATGCAAGAATAGCATCATTTCACGAAGCGGCATAGAGGAGACGCACCGTAAATCTCCTGCTCGTCAATGGGTTCCGGGGCATATTGATCATGGTTCACGGCGTCATCGCCGCGGGGCCATACCACCCCGTTATCGCAACATGGCTGCGATAGGAAGGCTGGCTTGGACAAGATGATGTCAGAATACCTGCTGTCCGGTCCGTGGCGATGAGCGGCCTTCTTCTGGCGAGTCGGTAGCTGTGAGGCGCTCAAAATGGTAGGATTCGCATTATCCAGCGCGGCAGGGGCCATGATGTGCGAGGAATGTGAAGAAGGTTGTCTCGCTCAAGACGGGAGTTGTCACAGGATGCCCTTCCTCGATTCGATCCAGCCGAGTCGACCAAGCGGGTTGCAGGTGGCACGAGGCACGAGGCAGGGCGCAGGAGCTAGAGAGGCGGCGACGGGGAGAAGGCAAATGATTGTCAATGCGAAGTGCAATGGCCGTGATGGAGTTTGGCCCCGTCTTTGGAAGGATCAAGTCCAGTCCTGCACGAGTGCACGATGTCGACGTTGGCTTGTGCGGTGCATTCGAGTGGCAACGGCGGATCTCGCGCGAAAGCATTTGCGCGAACTGGAGCTGTCGAATGAGGTGGCAGTGGACCCCAACACGCGATAAGGTCCTCCCAACTGCGCGTTGGGTACCCGTGACCAGGGGCCACGTGGAGTCACCCGCGCAGACCGGGTATCACGTTACCTGCGAGAGAAGCAAGGTACTTGTTTGGATACGGAATTCGGAGCACGGGAAGGGCCTTGATAAACCCAGCACCAGGGTATTTACTAGGAGCTAGCTACCCTGTATGTGGGCTTCAATCTGAGTCAAAACCAACGTGCCATGCCATGCTCCGGTCGGCATAATTGCATCGAGTTATAAGCCAAGACAACTAGCTATTAATACTATTCCGTACTATGCACCTATCGCTTTCAAGATCCACGATGCATTGGCCAGCGAAATGGAGACTCACGGTCGGGCATGGATTACGAGAGCGGGTCATGGGTGAGGTTTCGAGACGGGGAATTCGGGCCGGCATTTTCAATACTACTTAGGTATGTTGATAGGATGTGGAAACCAAGCAGTTGAAAGCTGAAGCACGGTGCTCGGTATGCCCCGAGACATATTAAGTACTACTGCGTGCTGACTGCATGCTTATGTATGTGTGTGCGCATGTATGTGCGTATACTAGAGTATGAGAATAACTAGTACTTAGACCAGACTACCAGACTACCGCCTTGGTGGCTTTGACAAAGGTGAGGAAATTTCGCAAATTGGTGTACACGGGCCCCAGTGAGCAGAGAGGCCAATTGCCAAGTACCTAATGTAAGTAGCAGTGACTGTTGAATCCCATGGAGGCGGAGCGCGTACGGAGTACCCAGTACCTATCGTACCATGGGTGCTCCGTAATTGAGGGCAGTTCTCCTCGGCGGCGGTTTCTATGTTGGTTCGTTCCTTCCACAATCCACCTGCCTTCCTTGGTGCTTCCATTTGCATGGGAACATGGGTCAACGCTTCAGCTGGCTGGCCCGTCAAACACTGTCACGTCGGTGAACGCGATAAAATGGTTCAGAACAGCTTCATTCGCATGAATACTACATGCAAGTGTCATGCATAGGCCTGCAGGTGTCACTGAATACTCACACGCGTGCGTGGATCATCCTGTTCCCAGCTTGCTTGTTGTATCTGTCCCTATTCCCCTTCTCAATGCTGTTAACCCTTGAATTCTGTGCGTCTCGCTCGCTCGCCAATGCCACACACAGCTGATTGGCCGAGGGCCTCGAGACGAAGTCAAGGAAGGCACTGATGATTCCAAGTACGAAGATGTCGCCGAGTTTTGAACCGCCCACTAGGTGATGTGCCTCCACCGAACCTTGCCTGGATGCCTCGGTGTAGCGTGCTGATCATCATAGAATATTCCTAAGGAACGAGTCACGTCTAATTACCACCCGCCGCCCCTCACGGCGTCCATACTCTCGTTCATCCAATCGATCACAACCACGAACGCTCCGAAACGAGAGCACAGGCGGCAATCTTGACAACCCCCCATCGAGATGGGCTCTAATCCGCATTCGGCTACCGAAGCAGCAGGCAGATTGGCAGAATAAATTTTGTTACAAAGCCGGTTCGAGGCTCCTACAGGCAATGAAAAATGCCTTGAAAATGGATTAGTACTCCCGAATCTGCACGTCTGTCAGCCTGGAAATGAACCCCTTGTCTGCTGATGAACCAACCCTCCTGGGGCGGGCGCTTCATGCGGTTGCCACATGGTGGGGACATCGCTTGTCCACAAGTGAGAGATTACAAAGAGTCCACAAGAAGCCACCATGCTTGGACGGTTGGACGGCGGGATTTGCTCTGCCAGAAAGGGGTGTGCTCCCTAAAGAACTTGCGAACGCCATATTCTGCACCATGGGAGACACAACTGGTAGGGTTCTGGAAGGCGGTGTTGGTAAGCCTCAAGTGCTGCCAGGCAGGTAGCCATCCAAGACAACTGTCTTGGTGATCCACCGGCTCGCACCCCTGCCCTATCGGCCGAATGTTGGCGTCACCGCCTTCATTCCCGATACTACGCGATAAAACCAATGGAGGATTTTGCTACTACAGCCCGAAGTCCTTTCTCGAAAGGGCACAAACCCAACGAGTCGGGCTGTTGCTCCTAGGTATAACTTCTTGTATGGTTCCATAGGTTAGAGGCCCATCGTTGCACCTCGAATACACCGGTGACAAGAGCTGTTGGTGATAAATAGCAGTCAACTTCCCTAGGCGCCCGATGGCGTTCGCGGGTTTACATAAGGGCGAGACCTCGCCAGTATTGCATTAAACCCTACCCTGCTGTTCTCTCCCACAGCGACGTCTTTGGTTCTTTGACTGCCGGGAAGTGCCGCAACTTGTCCGCTCCATCTAACTAATATCAGGGACATACTGCTAACTAACATGCAGCCGCCTGACAAAAGATCCCTGATTTTGAGTCCACCACCGACCAGCAACTCAGCGCCCGCAAGCCCGCAAGCCTGGTAACGTGTTTACCAGGATGTTCCATCAATGGAGGTACGTCACTTCAAATGCGGCTGCCCGCTAAAGAGCTTCCTAACGCCACTTTACTAATGGCGAGGGGCATCATTAGTTCATTTTCTTGAATCAGGTGTCGACGCCCTGAAAAAAGAACAAACCCACGAGGACGTCCGGCAAAGCAATCCCAATCACAAAGTACGTTGGCGGATAACTGACAGACCATACCCATGCCTCCCTGCTAGCTGTCCTCTACCCAAGGTACTCCGCTGAGCGGCTGGAATTAGTCAACCACTAGGATTTCCTGAGCTTGTCAACCTTGAAGCCTCGGCAAGGCGATGGGCAACATGGGTCCAATGCAAAGTCCTTAGTATCCTCCGCATTTCGTTGCAAGTGTTGGCATGTGATATGACGCGCAATGCCACTGACTGATGGTCAGATGATTGATTCGACACCCCAAACACCAGATTTCAAGAAACATGGGGTAAGATTTTCCTAGTTCGCTGGCAACGAGAATAAATGTTGTGTGAGCTTCCTAGGCTGGAGTCGGCTTCTGCTGAAATCATCGGGTCGGATTGTAGGACCCGAAACACACATTAGTTTAGCGATGGGACCTAGCGCATGTTCTAGCACGGCAACCCACGAGCGCGCGCATCTTCGCGTCTAACAGCCGAGGAACCTCTAAATGCAGATCGAACAGTTGGCCTACGTCCTGTTGTGGGAGATATTACTTTCCCTCGGGCCCGTGTCGAAAAGTCAGCTCTGCAGAACATTTCAGGTGGCTCGGTCGTTTATCGGCCAGACGTTGAATGGCGGGATGGCAACCACAAGGTTCTTCTTCCCGTGCGCAATGTGTCCCCACGGCTCGTCTCGGGGTTCACAAACAAGCAGCGGGCTCTTGGAGTAGTTCTCACGCCTTTTAACGTTGCCCAAACCCCATGTGCCTGAAACCGAAGCACAACAGGTTGGCTAGTCTGTAATCAGTGAAGCTAAAGATTCCTACAGCATGTCGGCGGCGTGTGTACAACTCCGTACGGCTCCATCTTGTTCTGCAACTGCTGCCTGGGGGTCATGGACTCATGGCAGCGCGCCATTACCATCAAAGACACGCAATCATTGGAATCCCCACCAGCCCCCCAGATAAATCTCGTGTTCGCAATGGCACAAGCGAAGCGATCCCGCTCCATGCTTGCTGGCAGGATCAACATGGTCATCATAATGCCTTGAAAGCACACGAGTATCCCTTGTATTCATGGACGATATCCTTGGAACCAATACAGTAAGCAATGACAAGTGCCTTTCCAAATGAATGGTACCACCGAGCCCTAACCCGCCAACCATGGAGAGAGAAATGCAAACCATGAACGTCTCACTACATTGACATACAACGTTTTAAAGTATCACAGGATGGCCGGAATGGTGGAACTCACAAAGCGCAGGTTCGCACTCCGGGATAGCCTAAGCCGCCTGGCATCTTGGACGATCTAGTCAGCACCCAAGAGCGCCACTACGCAAGCCACTGCAACGCCAGTCGTCTTCCGTTCAACTTGCTTCCCGACTAGAAGAGAAAAGAATGATGAGCATGACTGGCAATGACAATACGAGTGGAATAGTCCACGGACGTCCGTACTGCTCAACGAACTCGCAATGACATGATTGCATCAGCCAAAACTCGACGGCGAGCGGTCAGGGAGATTGCGTGCCATTTATCCAGGTACAGTTCTGGAAGCGGCCAAACCAATTGCTGAGCGAGATTCATATCAAACAAAGGCTGTGGCATGGATGGCCACAATGGCGCTACCACTATTGCGGCAAATGTTGTCACATGCTTGCAACAATGACACTGGCAAGATTGCTGAAGTTAGCACTCTTTTAGCGAACAGGGGGTGGATGGGAAACATGAAGCCCTTGTAAAGTCAAAAGTCCTGTGCCCCAACACAGGAACATCAACCAGAGTCTTTTCTGGCTGCGCTTCTAGGCGTTTTCCCCCGCACGCTAGTTTACGATGACGGCGGCCTGTCAGAAGATATGGCAGAGTGACCCCAGACATCCAAGTCTGGAGTCGTTTTGTCAGCGGGGAAAGAGTGCATTAATTAATCTTCACATGCAACCCACCCGCCAGTTCGGGCAGACCAGACCAGAGATAACGACTTCGACCTCGGACTGAGCTAGCTCAGATAGCCATGGCATGAACATGTTCAACCATGAGGCTCTACCCGATGCAAATCATCGTGTCCTTTTTTGTTTAAAT